CACTTATGTCACTGTCTCCTTACTCCTTCAAGGTCGGTCTCAAGACCCTTCTTTTCGATCGTGCCTTTGGTCGCCCTCCCAGCTCTCTGCCTTCCCTCACCCCTTCACCACCCCTCCCCCATGCTCGGGCCCCGACACCTGACTGTTCAGCGCTTTGGGACGTCCTCCCGACATGAAAAGCGCTCTATAAATGTAATTTTGTTGTTGTATGACTCATGACAGTGAGTGACCAATTTTATCTGGGGGATTGTTGGCAAGGACACTGGGAGAGAAACTCCTTTCTCTTTTTGAATAGCACCACCGGATCTTTAACGTCGACATAAACAGGCAGACATATCATCTGAAGGACAGCGTTTCTGACGATTCAGCACTCCCCCAGCATTGTATTGGTGTGACAGTCTAGATTGTTGAGCTCAAAATCCCGACAAACACACAAATAGCATTTATACAGCGCCTTTCATGTCGGGAGGATGACCCAAGTTCCTGAACAGTCAGGGATTTGGACCCGAGCTGGGGGTTGGATCAGGAGGGGTGGAGGGCAGGGAGGGTCGGGATAGAAAGGTGAGCGAAGGCATGGTCGAAGAGGAGGGTCTTGAGACGGGCCTTGAAGGAGACAAGGGAGGGAGCGAGACAAAGAAACTGTGGGATGGAGTTCCAAAGGATGGAGGCAGAGAGGCTGAAGGCATGACTGCTGATGGTGAGGGTGGGCCGGGCGGAGGACATGGAGTACCAGGAGCCCGCTGAGCGGATGGAGTGAACTGGTCGATATGACTCAGAGGCGAGAGCGCTGCCGACTGAGCCAGGCTGAAACCTGGAATCTGCCCCACATATTTACTTGACCTAGCTTTCCACTTGCACTGTGGAAAAGATGACCGAAAGCTGTCATCGCTGGACCTGAAATCAGAAAGGACATGAATTTGAATCCCAGCTTTGATTAATTCGCACTAACTGGGCCAGGGAGACAGGAAGGAAGGCAGACTGGCCAGCACAGTGCTGCAGATGTGTGCTTGCTGTCAGTGAATCAGGGAGACAGTGAAATAATCTGTAGCTTTTCAGTCAATGTCATATTTCAAGTTGAATGAACAGCACAGCAGGTCAACTGAGAGCCTTACAGCCAGCTCCCCCGCACTGTCTATATTTATTCATCTAAGTAGTAAATTAGGCATTTTTAAAAAATATAATTTTGCATTCATATAACTGAATTATGGAAAGTAATAAAAATAATAGCTGTGCAATAAAGGGCATCCACCCATACTTACTTTCCTTGCTTTTAGGCTACACTGGAGTGTCAGCCTACACTGCGAGCTCAAAGTGTCCAACATGGGGGTGAACTCACAACCTTCTGACTGAGAGGCCAGAGCACTACTGACTGAGCCAGGCTGACCTGCATTGAATAATCTAATAATAATTGTTGCATTTGATATAGCGCCTTATCATGTCATTGAGATGTCTCAAAGTGCTTCACAAAATATATAAAATGAATTGACTGTATATTTTGTGAGCGAAACCGATTGCACACAGCAGTGTCTCACAAACAGTTGTGAATTGAGTGATCCGCCAATCAAATAAAACTAGCTTTCAACTTTCTTCTAGGTAAACAGAGGCATGTGAAGTAAGACAATTGAACCCAGGTCTAACCACCATACTACTGGACTCCGCAATACAATGCCCCGAATGAATGCTAAGAATAATCCGCACATTTAATGTAGTGCCTTTCACCTCAGGGAGATGTCTCAAAGTGCTTTACACAGTCTGAGCTGGGGGTGGTGTTGGGAGTTGGGGGGAGAAACTGAAGAGGGTAATGGGGGAAGGAAAGATGCCTGAAAGCACGGTCAAAGAGGTAGATCTGCAAACTCACCTTGAACGAGGTGAGTGAAGGATAGAGTCAGCGGGACTCCTCGATGGGGTTGGTGCAATCGGAGGCAAACAATGGCTGAAAGCCTGCCCGCTAATGTTGAGGTGGATGGGGCACGGGGACATGAAGGTATTCACATCTCCTGGAATAAATTAGATTCCTCGACTCTTTGAGACGTCCTCCGGATGTGAATGTTGATGTATCAAATGCAAGTGTTATTATACCAGAGCCCTGTAGCTCAGTGGTTAGAGCACTCGCTTTGCAAGTGAGAGACCTGAGTTCAATTCCAGGCAGAGGGCGAAACCTTGGGCAAGTTTCCTTACTCGACACAGAGCCTAATAATAATCCCTCCAAAACCAAAAACAATAATAAATTGGTCATTTTCAATCTACGACTGTTTGTGGGACATTGCTGTGCGCAATTGGCTGCCGCGTTCGCCCACAAATATACAGTCAATTCACTTTACAGTGTGTTCTGTGAAGCGCTTTGGGATGTCCTCCTGACATGAAAAGCGCTATATCAAATGCAAGGATAATTATTATTATTATTATTATTATTTAATGCCAGTGAGAGGAAGGGAGGCCGGACCAGGAGCAGAGCCAGTGGGCAGCAAATTAGAGAAATAATTGGGCACGCTGAATATTGTTTTTGAAAAAAAGAATTCGAGACGAGCGTCTGAAAGTGAAGTTAATCAGAGTTAATAGTAGGGAGCTAGAGAAAGGAGCTAAAGCACTCTCCCATGATGGCTGTCCACTTCCGGGCAAATCAATAGCTGGAATGAATAAAGCTAACTTGATAGGTTACACGGGAGAAAACAATTGGAGAGGATGAGTCTGTTCATTCTTAAAGGCACCAATTTAAAGTCATCGGACAAACAAACACAACCACAACAAAATTATGTTTATATAGCGCTTGCTTCTCACATCGGAAGAACGTCCCAAGGGACTGGACAGTTGAGGGTTTTCACTCGAGCTGAGAGTTGGAATCAAGCGGGATGGAGGGTGGTCGAAAGATCAAAGAGGAGAGTCTTGAGATTGGCTTTGAAGGAGGTAAGGGGGGGTGCCACATGGAGGGGTTCCAGAGGGTGGGGCAGTTTTAAACATGGGGATAAGGTGTGTACTTGAATAGAAAGGGTTACATATCCTGGAGCTATTTTTGAATGAGTCACATCATAATTTTTTGTGGGACGTTGCTGTGTGCAAATTGCCTACTGCGTTGTCCACGAAATACATAGTCACAACACATTAAAGTAAACCCTGTGAAGCTATTTGAGATGTCCTCCTGATGTGAAAGGCGCTGGAGCAAATACAAGGATTTAATGTTCCTACAAATATATTGGAGGGATATTTCAACCAAATCAAGTTACTGCCTCCACTACATTAAGAATTTCTTGCATAATTTCAATGGAACATGACAAAACAATTATTAGAAGAAAATAACCTTAGGGATATAGTCATCAGAAATATGTTAATAAAACACGCAATGGGTGATTTCCATATTGAAGCCTTTCCCAATGTAATTCACAGATTATTTCTGACAAACCACAAAAAACTATTCAGCCAAAACACCATGCAAAGTTTTGCTGTTTAGCTTTTCCAATTATATTCTCCCTGGAGTTAATCATTGTTTTGAGCTGGTATTTCAAATTGGAACAATTGCAAAGAGTCTCTGAAGGTATTTTGAACCTTGTTGTGACAGCGGTGCCTGTAATTGTAGCATTTCTTGCTTGACACATTATCAAGCGTGTCATACAGATCTGTGAGTGCCAGTCAGATTCTTTAGGAGCTTTGAGTGAATGGCATGAATAAGTTACAGAGGACTGAAGACAGCAGGGGATTAAGAAGCTATAATTGGAAAGAGTTGGAGGGATGGGGGGTGTTCAGGTACAAAGTCGTAAACCTTCTAAGAAAAGACTTTGAGCAATTTAAAACCTACGATCATAATAAAATAATTCCAATACTGTGCACATTTGACTGCTACATTTCATTGTGGAGTTCTGTAGCTCAGTGGATAGAGCACTCGCTTTGCAAGCGAGAGACCTGAGTTCAATTCCAGGCAGAGGGCGAAACCTTGGGCAAGTTTCCTTACTCCACACGCCTAATAATAATCCCTCCAAAAAACAAAAAAATAATAATAAAATTGGTCATTTTCAATCTACGACGGTTTGTGGGACATTGCTGTGCGCAATTGGCTGCTACGTTCGCCCACAAATATATAGTTAATTCACTTTACAATATATTCTGTGAAGCGCTTTGGGATGTCTAGAAGATGTGAAAAGCGCTATTCACATTATTATAGGGATTATTATTATATAATTATTATTATCCACAAAATAAGCGGGCAGGCTAAATGTTGGAAAGTTTCCTTACTCCACACGCCTCCTTTTTCCTCGCAGTAAGTAGGAACCCGCTTGTTAGTCGATTGGCGGATCGCTTTTCCGTGGGTAATAAAATAAAATTGTAATTTCAATAAAAAATAGTTTGGTCACTCAATCCATGACTGTTTGTGGGACACAATTGGCTGTTGTGCGCAATTGGCTGCCACGTGTCACCCACAAAATACACAGTCAATTCACCTTACAGTATATTCTGTGAAGCGCTTAGAGACGTCTCGAAGACATGATAAAATGCTATATCAAGTGCAAGATTATTATTATTAATAATGATCCTCGCATTTGATACATCGCCTTGCCCATTGGAAGGACATCTCAAAGCACTTCACATGATTTACTGCAGTGACTGTGTATTTGTAAGTGAAAATGATTATTTTTACTTGATGATGAAATCCCACCTTAGACCTATCTTTTTCATCGCACCTGTGGTCACTCCGCCCTTCTCCTTTGCTCGGCATCCACTGTGTGGCTCTCCGAGACACTGTCCCACCTGAAGGGCCCTGCGCAAATGCAAACAGTCTTTTGCAGACAGTTTGGCTACATTTTGGTGCTGGTGAATAAATGTTGGGGGGAATTAAGGATTCCGGGTGAACGAACCTACAATCCCTTGGCTTTTTGGTTTGGGAACGTGGATGGCAAAAAACTGATTGGAAAGGACATTGGAGGTGTGGGGCGCACGTGAGAAAGGCCTGCGCTTATTCGGGGTTTGTTATTCTGACGCCTCTTCCAAATGCTTTCTCTTTATCCCCTCAGGTCCCTTTTGGAGAGGGACTGTATCAGTTCACTCACAGCGGGATCCCTAAGACGAGGCAAAGACGCAGCATTCACCATAAGAGACATCTGGAAAAAGACCCGAGGGTAAGCCTTTATCGTGGCAGGGCTTTGCCCTTCCCCTCGGCGTTCGTTACTGTGGCAGCGGTCAGCTAACCGGGGAGCGAAACAAACAAATCACAACTCTGAAATTTAATTTCCAGGCTTTCGCTGTGAGACATCACAAGGAAGAAGATATATATATATATATGTGACATATATATATATATAAGGATATTTGCAGCAGGTTCAGAAATTAAAATGCATTGTTGTACAGCCACTATTCTCCGATTCGATTTCAACTTGAGACATTCAACCGAGGTCCCACCTGTGCCTGTTCAGGTGGATGTTAAAGATCCAATGGTACCTACTAATCAAAAAAAGACAGGAGTTTCTCTCCCGTGTCCTGGCCAACAATCCCCCAAATAAAACTGGCCACTCAATTCTCTGTTTGTGGGACACTGCTGTGCGCAAATCAGCTGCCGCGTTTGCCTGCAGATACACAGTCACTCCACTTCAGAGTAAAATCCCGCAAAGGACCTTGAGCTGTCTGAACCACAGTGATAAGGTGAAATCAAATAATAATAATAATAATAATCCTTGCATTTGATATAGCGCTTTTCACGTCGGGAGGACGTCCCAAAGTGCTTCACAGAACACACTGTAAAGTGAATTGACTGTATATTTGTGGGCGAACGCGGCAGCCAATTGCGCACAGCAATGTCCCACAAACAGTCGTAGATTGAAACTGACCAATTTATTATTGTTTTTGGTTTTGGAGGGATTATTATTAGGTGTGTGGAGTAAGGAAACTTGCCCAAGCTTTCGCCCTGTCTGGAATTGAACTCAGGTCTCTCGCTTGCAAAGCGAGTGCTCTAACCACTGAGCTACAGGACAATAAACAACAACTTGCGTTTATATAGCGCCCTTCACACAGGGTAGCGTCCCAGAGCGCTTGATAGTGGCGGAGCATGACACTGAGCTGGCGGAAGGGGAAAGGCGATCATAGGCACGGTCGAATAGGAAGGTCTTCAGGTACGACCTGAAGATGGAGAAGAAGGGAGCAAGGCAGAGGGATAGAGGAAGAGGATTCCAGAGTTTCGGGGCGTACTGGCTGAAAGCTCGGCCACCGATGGTGGAACAGAGGGCATGGATTAATGATAAATACAAGGATTATTAGGATAAATAGAAGTTATTTGCAGACTGGGTCACATGATCACTGTGGGATGCTTGCAACTGAACAGACACCAATTTGCTGGTCACTGCAGATACACGCTTTAAAGGCTACGATTGAAAAGTTAAAAAAAAGGAAACCAGGTGAAAGCTTAGCATTCCCTCACGTGGAACAGCTGATGTTTCTTTCCACACTAAAACATAGGATATTGCGCGGTTAACTAATACTGGAGGTATTTATCTGTTGTCCCTTTAAGAGTCCACTTGATTCCGCATCAAACTAGGGTAATAAAGGTGGGAAAATGGAATAAGGAAAAGAGACTGCAACCAGTAAAGTTCTCAGTGGACAAGGTAGATTACGTATGTTCCTCTAACGCCAAAGCGTTTGCCTTAATAATAATACGGTAAACTCCTGATAACTTGACCCTGATTTAACTTATCACTAACCACTTAAGTTATCAAACTTTTAATATTTCAGCAACATTTATTTATGTGTGTGTGTATATATATATATATATGCAATATATTGCCTAACTCAGCACTCTGGATAACCCTTCCGTGCATTTGATATAGTACCTTATCAAAGCGCTTCACAGAATATATTTTAAAGTGGATTGACTGTACTGTATTTGTGCACAGCAGTATCCTACAAACACTCATGGATTGAGTGACCAATTTTTTTAATCAAATTAATAAGGTAATTAAAGTTTTAGTAAAATAAGTTTATAAAGTAATAGATTGATCATTCTCAAGTCCCAAATAAGCACAGAATAATTAATAATTAGTAATAAATAATAATTAACAACATCAACAAAATTACATTTGTACAGTGGCTTTCACATCGGGAGGACGTCCCAAGGTGCTGGACAGTCAGAATTTCGGACCCGAGCTCGGGGGCGGGATCGGGGAGGGTGGAGACCAGGGGAGGAAGGAGGGTGATTGAAAGCACGATTGAAGAGGAGTGTCTTAAGATGGGTCTTGAAGGAGACAAGGGATGGGGCGAATCTGTGGGATGGAGTTCCAGAGAGTGGGGGCAGAGTGACTGAAGGCCTGCCCACCAGTGGTGGGGCGGGTGAGGCGGGCGACGCAAACCTGCTGAGCGGAGGGAGCGGACAGGTTGGTAGGGGATTAGGAGGTCGCAGAGGTAGGGTGAAGCAAGGCCATGGAGGGCTTTGAAGGTGAGTATAAGGATCTTGAACTGTATCCTCTGTGTGATGGGAAGCCAGTGGGGTCGGGCGAGGACTGGGATGATAGGATAACGGAGCCTGGTGCGGGAGAGGACACGGTATGCAGATTTCTGGATGATCTGCAGCCTATGGAGGGAGGAGTCGGGGAGACCGACAAGCAATGAGTTTGCATGGTCAAGTCTGGATGTTATGAATGTGTGTATGAGGGTTTTGGTGGCCTGCGGAGTGAGACAGTAGTGGAGCCGGGCGATGTTGCGGAGGTGGGGGAAGGCAAAGTGGATCATAGCACGGATGTGGGGTATAAAGGATAGTTGAGCGTCAAACAAGATGCCAAGTTCCGGACTGGATTAGTAGGGTGAAGTGTGCAACCATGGATGATGATGCTGTTAATGCATGAGGTGTGGAGCCAATGATAACAGAGTTATCAGGAGTTTACTATAATAATAATAATCCTTGCATTTAGCATAGTGCCTTTCATGTCGGGAGGATGTACCAAAATGTTTTGCGGGAAAGTGTGAAAGTGTGGTGACTGTGTATTTATGGGCAATCGCGGCAGCTAATTTTTACCAAGCAACGCCCTACAAACAGCTGCGAATTGACTGACCAATTTTATTTGAGGGGTTGTTAGCCAGGACCCCGGGAAAACTCCCTTCTCTTTTTGAATAGTGTTACGGGGATCTTTAACGTACATCTGAACAGGCAGTCAGGAAGCCTCATGACGGCAGGTCAAACAATAAAGCGCACTCCCAGCACTGCATTGGTATGGCAGCCTGAACTGTGAGTTCCTAGACCTTGAGCTTTGAGCTGGAACCCGTAACTTCATTACTCAGAGCTGAGAGTGCTACAAAGCCTAACCAGGCTGTCTGTCACCTGTCACAATGCTGCCGGTGGCTTTGGGAGCCTTGTTTTCACTCATAATGTAATTTGCAGCGTCACTCGCTTTTAATGCGTAGAGACACAGCATGTGACGCATCTGGCGGTAAACATGTATAACACAAGTGGACCCGTAGGCAGACACGCACATGCACAAAGACGCACACGCACAAGCACAAACACGCACACTCACGCATACTGCTCCAGTAACACTTCTTCTAGGCAGACTCTTTAAACATTATTTGCCACAATCTTCCGAGTGCTGTAACACATTTTCTCCAACACATTTCATTGCTTGAGACCTCAGTGTGAATTGATGAGAAATGATTGCATTTTCAGAAAGCATGAGTAATTCTCGTACCTAGAAACCTAGGCGATTGACTGCATCGAGGCAAATTAAATGACCCAGCACAGTACACTTTCTTACATTACGTCACCTCGAGCTTGCTTGCTTCTGATTTCAAGGCATAAAATAACGGGGAAAAATATCCTGCCATCCCACGATGGATGGATTTTAACGGTATTCATTCTAAGCACACTCCATAATTCATTACCGTCAACAGCAACAATTTACATTTACACAACGACGCCTTTCACATTGGGAGGATATTCTCAAAGTGTGTCATAAAATTGACTGGGTGTCCGAGCTGAGGGAAGAGGGTTGGGGCAAATGGGGGAAGGCAATGTCCTTTGAATGAGACTTTAAACCAAGGTCCCATCTGGACGTTACAGATCCCGTGCCAATATTTGAAAAGAGAAGGGAGTATTTCTCTCCCGGTGTCCTGGCCAGCAATCTCCCAAATATAATTGGTCACTCACTCCAAAACTGTGCTGCTGTATTTCGCCCACAAAATACAGTCACTCAATTTTACGGTAAATCTTGCGAAGCTCTTTGAGGCATCTTAATGATGAGATAAGGCACAATATCAAATGCAAGGATTATTATTATAATTTAAAATGCATTTTTTGATTTTTGAAGTCAGGAAGGATGGGGCGAGGAGGAGGGACTCCAGAATGGAGTTCCAGAGGGCGAGGGCACAGTGGCTAAGAGCTCAGCTGGTGGAGTGGGGGCAGAGTGGACAGGGGGCATTTCTCTGTGTATTTCCCAGGCTGGTTTTGTACTGGATCGAGATCCTTTGGCAGGGGATTGCAGCTCTTGCCCAGCACTCTCACTCTGAGATCAGAAGGTCACAAGATAGGGTTGGATGAAGAAGGCCCTTTAATCTTGTTGACCTTGTTAGAGATCCATCAGTATTCATTATTGGAACACTTCCCCCATTGCCCATTTGAATCATAGAATCTTACAGCGCAGAAGGAGGCCATTCGGCCTATCATGCCAGTGCTGGGTCTTTGAATGAGCTATCCAATTAGTCCCACTCCCCCGCTCTTTCCCCATAGCCTTGCAATTCTTTTCCTTTTCCAGTATACATCCAATTCCTGTTTGAAAGTTGTTATTGGATCTACTTTGCCACCGAATCTAACACTGTTGAGACAATCCCAGGCATGAGGGAATTACTGCCATTGACAGTAGGTGGCGCTAAATGTTTTACTGCAATAAACCAACAAGCCCTTTCAGAAGGTCAGAAGAGAGGTTCAGATAAAAAAGGCTTTTTAGCCCATTGGATCTCAACCTTCCAGGACACCCGCTTTACTGTCCACCCATCAAGCTGTCCAGGATCCTGGGCTCAACAAACCTTCCTAATAAACTCAATCTAGTTGTTAATTCCCGCTGGGAAAAAATAGCTTCTGTTGTGTGTCCTGATATTGCCGTTTGTAGACTCTAAACCTGTGTCCTCTTGTTACATAGGAACAGCAGTCGGCCATTCAGTGCCTCATGGCTGATCTGTACCTCAACTCCGTTTACCTGCCTTTGCTCCATACTCCTTGATATCTTTACCTAACAAAAATCTATCCACCTCATTCTTGAAAATTTGAATGGATCCAGCATCCATAGCGTTTTGGGGGAGGAAGAGAGTTTCTGATTTCCATTACCTTTTGTGTATGAAAAAGTGCTTCCTGATTTCACTCCTAAATGGCCTAGCTCTAATTTTAAGATTATGCCCCTTGCTCTGGATTCCCCCACCAGAGGAAATAGTTTCTCAGTATCCACCTTATCGAATTCCTTTATCAATTTGCAAATACCATTTTATTCTGCTCTTTCGGTGCATCCGAATATGTTAGCTCTTAGCATGGTTTTGTCAAGGATGTGGGCGGGTAAGTGAGCTCCGAAGTCAGAGAGAATAGTATCAATGTTATTTTCAAGAAGGAAAGGATGATTAGTAAGGATCCAGGCTCACGCAATGTGAAAAACATATCAGAGCTTTCATGTTTTCGAAACAATCTCTATGCCCTATGTGCCACTTAATGTTTAGACTAGTGTAAGGTCGTTTTTGTGAAAAGTTTAAAAATTGATGCTGTTCGGAAAGGAACTCTTTGGACGATCAAAGCGAACTGGAGAATAATATCATCCGTGCGTTTTATTTATGGTCCACACAAGCTACTTAAATTTCTATTACTTAAGGGTAAAGGATTGAGTGCGTTGTAAAATCCTGTAATCTGGTGTCAGCCTGGCTCAGTTGGGAGCACTCTCGCCTCTGAGTCTCAAGGGTGTAATAATCCTTGCATTTGATATAGCCCTCTATCAGGTCATTACGACGTCTCAAAATGCTTCAACAACAACATTACATTTGTATAGCGCCTTTCACGTCGGGAGGACGTCCTTCACAGAATATACTGTTAAGTGAATTATTATCCTTACTCTTAGCCTGGAGATTTCCTCCACAATATGGGAAATTGTAAAACGCTGTGATCGACACTTATCTGAGTAATAATGCTCTGAAGTAACTGCTGGAAGGGAAAAGTCAAAGGATTCAATCTTTCCAGAGCAGGTTGAAGTGGCCACAGCAGAGTCCTAGAGACCAATAGTTAAAAGGTTTACACTAAATTGGCAAAGATTAAAATGAAACAAATTGTATACTTTTCTGAAGGGTCTCTTTTGCTGCGGGAAAGTGAGTTTGAGTGTGGTGGTACAGTAAATAATAACAATAATAAGACAGGCACTAACACTAGGTGCCCTTCTCAGTCGCTGAAATCAAAATCCACAGTAACCACGGTAACGCAATGCAATTGAATTTTTGAACTTGAACAAAATATCTGCTATAATGGTAATAATAACCAGTAATAACTCTGCCGCCCGCATACTTACCCGGACCATACTCTGTACCCACATCTCATCAGTTCTGGCCAGGCTCCACTGGCTCCCCATCACCGAACGGATCGACTTCATGTTCAAATCCCTTCGCTCTCTGGCACCTCCCTACCTCTCCAACCTCCTCACTCTCCAATCCACCACCCGGCCCCTCGGCTCGACTGGCACCGGCCTCCTGCTCGTCCCTCACACCCTCCACCCCACCATCGGAGGTCACCCTTTCAGCCACTACATCCCGAAACTCTGGAACTCTCTCCCTCAATCTCTTTGCCTTGCCCCCTCTCTCCCCTTTTTCTAGACCCACCTGAAAACCTTCCTCTTCGACCGTGCTTATGGCCACCTCCCCCTCCCACCCCCAGCGCTCCACCACTGTTTAACACTCTGAGACGCTAGCCGATGTGAAGGGCGTTATATAACTGTAAATTTAACTTGTTGTAATCATTATTCTTGCATGTGATATAGCTCCAAAAATATTGAACTCCTCAAAGTGTGTTCCTCTACGTGTAAGTGGTTCACGAAAATGTAAATAATAATAATAATCCTTGCATTTGATATAGCACCTTATCACTTTGTTGAGAAGTCCCAAAGTGCTTCACAGAATATATTGTGAAGTGAATTGCATGCTGCAGTGTCCCACAAACAGTCGTCGATTGAGTGATACTTTTTTTTTGATGGATTATTACCCCCAGAAAACGATCCGCCAATCGACTGACATCTAGGTTCCTATTTAATTGCTAGGTAGAGGCTTGTGGAGTAAGGAAACTTGCCTGAGGTTTTGCCCTGTCTGGGAATCGAACCCGGTCCTCTCGCTTGCGAGGCGAGTTCGCTAACCACTACGCTACAGGACTCCACAAAGCCACAATGTAGGGCTCATTGTTCTTTCCACACACTTTATCATAAAATTAAATTACTCTGAAAATTTGATGTGGTGCTAAAAAAGTTTAGAAACTTGCTCATTGCAATTTATATAATGGCTTTCACATCGGGAGGACATCTCAAAGTGATTTTGACTTTGAGCTCACAGGCTAGGCTGTCAGTCAAGGGCATTGCTGCAATACAATGTTGTGGTGCCGTCCTTCAGATAATAGGTTAACCAAGGGCTTGTCTTCCTGTTAAAGATCTGATGGCACTACTTGAAAAGAGAAGGGAGGTTCTCCCAGTGTCCTAGCCAACAATCTCCCAAAATAAAATTAGTCGTTTGCTTCATTTCTCCATCACTCATACAGGATACAGTTCAAGATCCTGGTCCTCACCTTCAAAGCCACTCCACGGGCTCACTCCTCCCTATCTCTGTGACCTTCTAACCCCCTACTAACCTGACCGCTCCCTCCGCCCAGCGGGCTCTGGCCTGCTTCACATCCCTTCCTTGCCTGCCCCACCATTAGTGGGCTGACCTTCAGCCACTCTTCCCCCACCTTCTGGAACTCCATCCTGCAGTCCTTCTGCCTCGCCCACTCTCTTGCCTCCTTTCTGACCGTGCCTTCAGTTATCCTCCTACCCCAAACTCACTGCCCTCCACCCCTCATGATCCCAACCCCCAGCTTAGGTCTAAATCGTTGACTGTCCTGCGCCTTGGGGCATCCTCCCAACATGAAAGGCGCTTTACACGTGTGATTTGTTGTTGTTTTATTTGTGATGAATGAAGGAGCAGAAACATTTGCCAAGAGGTCGCTGGGCTGTTTGTTGCAGCTGCCAGTCTAATATACAATCGAAGACTGTGGCTGAGAGATGACATTTCATCATCTGACCTCCCAGTGCCTTCTATTACTTCCTAAGAAATGGTGTCATCGAACATTCTTTAATAATAATAACACACGATACCTGGTGCTCAAAATGTCCAACTCCTACAAAAAGTAGTTATTTTGGAAAGTTCAAATACAATATACTAATAAAAGTAACATCCATTCATATGCCACATGGAAGTATTACTGGTCTGGCTGACTCATCACTGAAAACCACTCAGAGTGATCTAAACCTCAATAACATAATAATAATAATAATAATAATAATAATGGTATTTCACATGGGAGGACATCACAAAACACTTCACATGATTTACTTTCAAGTAGAGCAACTGTGTGCCGACTGTATTTAATAATAATAATAATTCTTGCATTTGATGCATTTGATAACAACATTATCATGTTGTTGAGACGTCTCAAAGAGCTTCACGTTTTGCAGGCGTGACAGAATAAGTTTGATTTACTCTGTAATGTGGGCTGAATGTAGCTCCTGTATTGTATGTGGGGTATATATTTTTCAGAGTGATTCTCAGGGGAAGGTTTTCAGGGAACCTTTTCCGCAGTTTCCGTTGTGTAGCACGTAGGCCATAATTGTGCGAAAGAAACGTGACAATCTGGATCGCAGTTAAGAAAAAGGTCCAATGAAGTGAATTCAATATTTTTAAATAATAATAATCCTTGCATGCGTAATACACTTCCAGGTCATCTTTTCTTTTGAAGGTAGAGGCGGTAGCCAATTTGAGCACAGCCACAAAGTAACAACAACAACAACTTACATTTATATAGCGCCCTTCATGTGGGGTAGCGTCCCGGAGCGCTTGACAGTGGCGGAATCTGACCGTGAGCCAGGGGAAGAGGGAGGGGGAAGGTGACCGTAAGCACCATCAAAAAGGAAGGTCTTCAGGTGAGATTTGAAAGTGGGGACTTGGGGGTGAAATTGTTGGCCAGGATCCTGGGAGAAATTCCATTCTCTTTTTTTGACTAGTGCCACGGGACCTTTAAAGTCCACCAAAACAGGCAGAAGGATCTCAGTTTAGCATCTCTCATCTGAAGGACGGCACCTCCGCCTAAGCAGCACACCACAATCCCCCACCCCCACCACTGCACTGGAGTGAGTTCAAAGACTTAACATGTGGCTTGAAGCCACAACCATCAGACTCGGAGGCGAGAGTTCTATCGACTGAGCCAGGCTTAGAATAAAGGCCAGTCATATCAATGGAGTACTGTAACTATTGGGATTTGCCAGAGATTTGTTTAATGTGGACATTGAAAGACACTTACTTGCAATGCAGCATCTCAGCTGTTGTTATTCACACAATTCTTTTTGCAGGTAATACATGTCTCGCAGCAAGAAGCATTCGAGAGAAGGAAGCGAGGCTACCGAAGGATTAGTGATATTGATGTCGACATGAACGATCCTTTGTTTTCAAAACAATGGTATCTTGTAAGCAATGTTTTACTTACCTATACCTGTCCTTGAGCACATCACGTACATTACCATAGAACCACATAGACAGTACAGCCACGAAAGCCCGTTCGGCTCAACTAATCCATGCCAGTGTTTATATTTTCCTGTCAATCCCCTCTCCCAGTCTCCTCTCTCTTGGGCACTAACTGGAATGTGAAGTTTCAACACAACCCTGGCTGTGATCAGTCCTAGCTATCCAGTTCACTTTTGAAAGCCAATATGGATTTGGTATCTGAGGAGCAGAATGCCTACCTGTGAGGTCTATCTTTCTCAACTGGGAACGATGAGTGGACGTGAGGACGTTGTGGGAGAGGAAGATAAGAAGTAGAAATGAAATAAATAACATCAGTACTTGTGTGCGAAGCATTGGTGCCTTTTGATTCGTAGCCAACTTCATAGAATCATAGAATCCTACAGCACAGAAGGAGGCCAATCGGCCTAAAGTGCCTTTGGGGCTCTTTAAAAGAGCTATTCAACTAGTCTTTCCCGACAGCATTGAAAATTGTTTCTTTTCAAGTATGTACCCAATTCTCTTTTGAATGTTATAATTGAATCTGTTTCCACCACCCTTTCAGGCAGTGCATTCCAGATCATAACAACTCGCTGCATAAAAAACATTCTCCTCATCTCCCCTCTGGTTCTTTTGCCAATTATCTTAAATCTGTGTTCCCTGGTTACCAAACCACACAGTGGACACAGCGTCTCCTTAATTACTCTATCAAAACCTCTGATTATTTTGAACATTTCTGAACACCCAGCGCCTTGGGACGTCCTCTCAATATGAAAGGTGCTATATAAATGTAATTTTGTATTGTAATAAATTTTGCTTTGACCTTCTCTGCTCTAAGGAGAACAATCTCAGCTTCTCGAGCTTCTCCGCATAGCTGAAGTCCCTCAACCCTGGTACCATTGTGGTAAATTTCCTCTGCACCTTCTCCAAGGCCTTGATATCCTTCCTATAGTATGGGGCCCAGAATTGGATACAATATTCCAGTTGAGGCTTAACCAGTGATGTATAAAGGTTTAGCTTAACTTCCTTGCTTTTGTACTCTATGCCTCTTTTTATAAAGCAAAGGGTGCCGCATGCTTTATAACTTCTCGATAACTATTGTCACTTGGACAGAAAGTTGCGATTAATTGTGGAAGCTTTTAACAATGCACATTATAATTTTTTTTAACCGTTAGAGATATGAAATCATTAAGCTACAGATACCAAAGAGGAGACAGGGTTTTGTTAAAATTGCACCTGGTGTTTAAACCCTTTTTACTTGAATCAGATAAATACAGGCCAAGCAGATGGAACCCCTGGATTAGACTTGAATGTGGCCGAGGCTTGGGAACTGGGTTACACTGGAAAAGGAGTTACCATAGCAATCATGGATGATGGTAAGGGCAACTGAGTGGTATTTTTTCCTCGTAAATCTCTGGTTAATAATAATATTCCTTTCATTTGCTATAATCTTGTTGTTGTCTCATATGGCTTCACAGATTATACTGTAAAGTGAATTGACTGCATATTTTGTGGACAAAACACAGCAGTCAATTGCACACAACAGTGTCCCACAAATAGTCGTGGATTGAGTGACCAAATTATTATTATCATTGTTCAAAAGATTATTACCCCAGAAAGCATTCTGCCAATCGAACAACCGGGTTCCTACTTACTGCTAGTAGGGAATCTTGCCTACAGTTTCGCCCTGCCCGGGAATCAAACCTGGTCCTCTTGCTTGTGAGGTGATTGCACTAACTACGATAATAATAAATAATAATAATTGCATTTGATATAGTGCTTTTCACGTCTTCTAGATGTCTCAAAGCGCTTCACAGAATATGCTGTAAAGTGAATTGACTGTATATTTGTGGGTGAAACGCGGCAGCCAATTGCGCACAGCAGCGTCCCACAAACAGTCGTGAATTGAAAATGACCAATTTATTATTGTTTTTTTTTGGAGGGATTATTATTAGGCGTGCTCTACAGTACTTCAAAACAAGCCATAAGTCCAAGCAAGGTGGTCATGTGTTCTTTCCAGTCTCTATCTCCCGCTGATGCAGAATGATGATAATAGTGATTAATAATCCTTGCGTTGATTCAGCACCTTTCACATCTGGATGGCATCTCAAAGCACTTCACAGGACTTACTGTAAAGTGGAGTGGTTGTGTATTCTGTGGTTGAATGCGGCAGCCAATTTTCCACGCAGCAATGTCCCACAAACAGCCATGAAGTGGATGACCAATGTTATCTGGGGTGGGGGATTGTTGGCCAGGACACTAGGAGAGAGAAACTCCCTTCTCTTTTCAAACAGCGCTACAGGATCTTTAATGTTCACCTGAACAAGCAGATGGGGCCTTGGTTTAATATGCCAATAGAAGAATGGCACCTCTGACAATGCAGTGCTCCCTCCAGCATTGCACTGGAGGGTCAGTTGAGTGAGCTCAAAGTTCCAATGTTGGGGCTGGAGGAACCCGCAATGGTCTGGCTCAGGGGTGAGTGTTGACTGAGCCAGGCTGACACCACATTTTGAGGAAGGGAAGCAATGCTGCAAACTCCCAAGTTTGTGTTGAATGTGGCATCTATCACGAGCGCGCTGCCACTTTATGTAATTCTTTGGGATGTTCACAAAGTCCTGTTACCCTCATGTTTTTTTCTGCGGTGCACTGACCCAAAACTGAAACACGTGGAAGAATGATAATACTTGTACATAGAAGTGGCAAGGAAGTTACTGGTGTCAGACATTGTTACATTCGTCTTCCCTGCAACAGAAAATAAAAATTAATTGTAAGGATAAAAAACAGCGGGGTGGGGGCAACAGGATTTTGTGAACATCCTGTACATGGGCTTAAAAGTGTACACAAACCGTAATGGGACTCACTGACTGCAAAGAGATTGCTCTGGCACTGAAATTACTAGCTGCAGAGTAGAGGAGTAGATGTGCTATAATATTTGCAGGGGTATTTTCGAGCCCCCTTTGCTGCTAGCGAAGATTTGACTTGCTTTGTTTCCAGAAGATGTTGTAATGGTTCTAAGTTAAGTCTGAGTAACTTATATCTCATTTCAATCCAGGCATTGACTACTTGCACCCCGATCTTGCTGAGAACTACGTGAGTACATAACAAGGGCTCTCCTTGTTTGCTTTTGATTTTATATGTCAATTGGAATGTCTTAAGTGCAATGATGGGGAGTTGCATCCGCACAGCACCTTTCACATCGGGAGGATGTCTCGGAGTGACAGGGAACCCGAGTTTGGGGTGGGGAGATGGGTGGTAAAGTTAGAGCTGGGATGGTTTGCTGGGGGTGGGGATGGGGGCGGGTACCCCAGCATAAGTGAAGAAGCCTGGGGACTCAGGAGGGAGATAAAAATGTTGGCTTGCTGCAGGTACTTCTTTCAGATAGAGAGAGAGAAATTTATATTTGCGCTTAGAAACAAAGACATCTACAACAACAACAACAAGATTGCATTTATAGAGCGCCTTTCACGTCGGGAGGACGTCCCAAGGCGCTGTAAGAGGCCATTCAGCCCATCGCTTCTGCACCAGCTCACAGAGCAAGGAGATTACTTCAGTCCCACTGCCCCATTCCCCCGTCAAGCCCCTCTCTATAGAAACATACTTATCGTTCCTCCCTACTTCTGTGACTTGCTAACCCCATACCGATCTGTCCGCTCCCTCCGTTTGGGAGGTTCCGGCCTGCTCCACATCCCCCACCCTGTCCACCCCACTATCGGCGGTCAGGCCTCCAGCTTCGGGGAAAATTGTTGACTGTTCAGCATCTTGGGACGTTCTTCCAATGTGAAAGGCGTTATATAAATGTCATTTGTTGTTGTGTCATACTTGCCTTCAATACATCTAGGCTCGACTATGCCAACTCCCTGCTTGTCAGCCTTCCCAACTCTTCCCTCCACAAGCTGCAGATCATCCAGAACTCTGCAACTCATGTCCTCTCCCGCACTAGGCTCCGTGACCCCATCACCCCCACCCTTGCCCGGTGGCTCCCTATCCCTCAGAGGATCGAGTTCAAAATCCTCGGCATGACCTTCAAGGCCCTCAACAAACTTGCCTCCTCCTACCTCTCCGACCTACTAATCGACCTGTCCGCTCCATCCGCTCAGCAGGCTCTGGCCTGCTCCATGTCCCACGCCTGGCCCGCTCTATCATTGGCAGTCGGGCTTTCAGTGTCTCTGCCCCCACCCTCTGGAACTCCATCCCACATTCCCTTCACCTAACTCCCTCCCTTGCCTCCTTCAAGGCATGCCTCAAGACTCTCCTCTTCAACTGTGTCTTCGGCCAAACTCCTACCCTCTCTGGCCTCCACTCTCCTTGATTGCAAACCCCCGAATCCTCCCCAATTCGGGTCCTAATCACTGACTGTTCAGCACCTCAGGACGTCCTCCCGACATGAAAGGCACTTTACAAATGTAATTTTGTATTGTACTGCGTCGTCGAGTCTTGTAGCATATTTGTTAAGAGTGCTCGTCTCGCAAGCGAGAGAACAAAGTTTCAGTTCCTGAGCAGGGTGAAACCTTAGGCAAGCTACCTTGCAATCCCCACCGCTACTTACCTAACAGCAAGTAGGAACCTGGTTGTTAGCCGATTGATAAATTGCTTTGCGGGAGTAATAATCCCTTAAAAAAAATATGGTCATACAAACCAAGACAGTTTGTGGGACACTGCTGTGTGCAGTTGGCTGCTGTGTTTTGCCCACAAAATGTACAGTCAATTCACTTTACAGTATATTCTGTGAAGCGCTTTGAGATGTTTCAACGACGGGATAGGGCTCTTTATTCAATGCAGTTTTCACCTCTCAAAATTAAGCTGAACAATACCTGCTTTGGATAACACCTCCTGGGTCTGGGCTCTGGCTGTGATTCAACTACTTGGAGTTTGGCATCATTGCTGCTCCTGAATACTGATGCAGTGGTGAATGCAGATCAGAGGCTTCGTAAACCAGCTGGTTTGCTCTTGTTTTATTCAGATGACATGCTTAATGCGACATTTTGCTTTGAAAGATACTTGAGGCCTTTAGATTCTTCAACATCTAAAGGCGGCGCTCCCAAAAAAGAACTGAGGGAAAATAAACCTAAGACTTGCCAAAAATTCTGTGCCAGCTTAAATTCTACTCTGATATTAAGAAATGCTGTGCCTCTGATCTCATTCCAGGCTTGTGCTGTTGTTTGGTTTTTGGTCAGCCGAGTGTCTGAAACATGCCGAAACCGATCACCATGCTTAAGAATATCCATCCAGACTCCACACTTACACGTGAAAGTTGCCCTGTGTCTGGAATGGAACGCGTACTCTCTCCCCAGAGGGAACTTATCGAATCCCAGAGAGTATTAGGCACAGGTTGGCAAGAGCTAAGGCTTGAGGATCCCAGTTCATGCTTTGGGGTAGTGCTGGAGTTTAACCAGCTAAAACCACATAGCATTTGCCTTCCTGCTGCTTGTCTAGCTAGGACCACCCTACCTGCTATGGCTTTGATTTGTTGGTTAACTGGAGTTGAGTGGGAATAGTCTGCCCTCAGTAACCTGTCTGCCGCTGCAAGTGCTGCCGATTAGCCAGGCTGGCTGGTCTGTTATCAACAATGCCCTGGAGTGCTGTGGACCTGCCTGGCTGTGGAACTGGACTAATAATAATTCTTCCCTTTCATCTAGTACAGTTCATGTCAGGAGTACGTCTCAAAGAACTTCACAGGAATGACTGTGACCTATACTTTGTGTACTTTGTGTACTTTGTGTAGGCAAACATGGCAGCCAATTTGCACACAGCAATGTCCCACACACAGCCATGGAATACCAATTTTTATTTGGGGGATTGTTGTCCAGGACACCGGGAGAAACTCCCTTCTCTTTTCATATGGTAATTTGCCTGAACGGGTATAGGTGGGACGTCGATTTAACATCTCATCAGAAATCTCTGATAATGCAATGCATCACTGGCAACTGCACTGGAGCATCAGCTTAGACTGTGAGTTTCAAGTCTTGATGTGGGGTTTGAACCCATAGTTGTTGACCCATCGGTGAGAGTGTTACCAACTGAGCCAGCAAATGGCATAGAAATTGAAGTGAACGTTCTTGCATTGCTAGAAGCTCGCTCCTTTGACTCGCAAAGTGTTTGAACGTGGTGCTGAAGTCAGTGATTAACACTTAATGGTTAATTAAATTCCATACCTAAAACGTGTTTAGGTTCTGATCTTGTAGCAAAACATAGAAGATTTAAATTGCTATTTCACCACATTAATATTCACACGGGCCAGACACTAAACTGTGGTTGAAAGAGAACGTATAATGAATAACAACTGTATTGTGCAGAAAGTCCTAGGAACTCGACTGAGGTAACGGAATAGATGGACTTTGGCATTTTGCCTCGTCCACACATGCAAAACTGGAGAGATGAGATCCCTGAAATCAGCATCAGATAATGAAATAAAATGCACTGTTCTAACCCATGGGTCGATCAGCGAGGAACAAGGCATGAAAATCATTTCCTCTGGCACCCCTCAGTTAAATTCCATACCTAAAACGTGGTTCAGGTGCATTTCATATAGCATCTTATCACGTCATTGAAATGTCTCAAAGCCCCCACCACCACCAGTGCTTTGAGAATCTCAACGTGATACAATTCTATGCTAAATGCAAGCATTATTATTATATTAAGACAGTGACTTCAGCCCACGCACAAAGAAATTTCCGTGCGTGGGTGGCATACATATGTAGAGCTGGTTTGGATAATAATGCTAAGAATAATCCTCACATTTAATATAAGTCCTGTAGCATAGTGGTTAGTGTGCTTGTCTCTCAGGTGAGAGGACCCGGGTTCAATTCCCAGGCAGGGCGAAATCTGAAAAGCAAGTTTCCTTACTCCACACTTCTCTGTTTACCTAGCAGTAAGTAGGAACCTGGTTGTTAATCGATTGGCAGATGCTTTCCGGGGAATAATCCCTCCCCAAAAATCCAAGACTGTTTGTGGGACACTGCAGTGTGCAATTGGCTGCTGCGTTTCAGCCACAAAATACATCATACGATATATTCTGTGAAGCGCTTTGAGACGTCTCAATGATGTGATAAGGCATTATATCAAATGCAAAGATTATTATTATTATTGATACAATGCCTTTCATATTGAAAGATGTCTCAAAGAGCTTCACAGGAAATCCAATAAAGTGTAGTGACTATGCTGTGACTGGTTTGCGTATGTGTCAGACAAAGAACAGAAAAAAAACATTGATATTTCCAGTCTATCAGTGCCAGATCCTGAACTTCCAATAAATTTGCCAAAAAAATCCAGGAGATGGAAAAGATTGTAATTTTCTCCCGATTGCCTCTTGAAATGACTTTAAGAAAAGAGCAATCTGGCTATAATTGTTTGGGAAGAGCTTTTATTTCCTGAAGTGAGCAATTATTTCTATCTCTCTCTGTCTGTCTGACATGAATCATCTGGTACATGGGATTGTTTTTGACAATGTAATTTACACAGTTCCTGCTGTTCTTTAGTTGCTCGCTGATTTGCCTCGCTGAGGGCCAGTATCTTTTGGAGATGTGACCGCAGTGAGATTGGAACTGTGCCTTGTGCTGATGAGGTTACAGTCTGAAGCCTATGTCTACATGTAATCTGCTGTCACTCGGACCTGCTATGCAGCAAACCTGACTGAGAGATTGATTCACCTGAATGCCGCTTGCTCATATTTTTTCGTTTTAGAAATGCTAAGCATTGCGTAAGAACGCTCCATGTGTGTAATATTATTTACTGGACCCTAATTTACAAGTTGGTTACTTTTCATTTCCTCCCCTTGTGTTATTTGCATCATTTTTGGTGCTTTTTGATTGAGGTATTTCAAATAATGGAAGGAATTGAGGGGTTAGAGAGTGGTTGACTCTTCCCTCTGGTAGAGGGATTCATGAGGTGAGGTGCCATCTTTTGGATGAGATGTTAAACCAAGATCCTGTCTGCCTCTTCAGTTGTTTGTTAAAGATCCCATGGCACTATTCGAGCAGAGAAGGGAGTTTCTCCATGTGTCCTGGCAAATCTGCTGGAACGAGCAAAAGGGAAAATGAATTACTCTTTTTTAAATTAAAAAAAATCTGGATTTCAAATTGACAAACACACATCAAGGAGTCATAAGATGCATTGTGTTACATAAACCTCAATTCCTTGATGTGCATATAGCCCTAGTCAGTGCTGTTTTTAGTTAATTCATAAGAACAAACAGCGGAGGAGGAAGGATTCAAGAAATATTTAGTCAGAAAGGATTTGAAGAATGTTCTCCTGAGCAGAAATTGATTAAGTCACGCCACCGGAATAGATCCTGAGAAAGCGAGTCTAATTGTTTCAGTAATAGATTATAGCCAGGCAGATTTTAGTGCCTGTTTCAAAATGTATTTGATAATAACTCAGTGTATAACGAGACCTTCATTAACATGGGAAGAATATTCAAAGTGGCAATCAGTCACCAAGGTCTGTGGAGAGAGAGTAAACAGTGGGATTTGGAGCAGGCAGTTCCAGTGGCAATATAAGAGAAACAGGCTGCACTGCCCAACTAGAAAGTACAGGTGTTTAAATCCATCCCCTCCTATTCCCCTCTCCATTACCCCTCTATTCCTATCTCCCTCATACACCCATCTAGTTTCCTCTAAAATACATTAATGCTTTTTGCTTCAAGCACAGCTTCCAGCCATGATGTTCCTCCTGAATTCCTTTGTATTTTTTACCCCTTGATTTGGACTCAACAACCTTCCCAGTAATTTAACCCTGTTCCAGTTGTTAATTACGCTTTGGATAAAGAAATATTTCCTGGTGTCTGTCCTGAAATTGCTATTTGCAGCTTTAAACCTGCATGTACCCTTTTGTTCTGGTGTCTCAGTGTATCCGAAAGTATTGGTCTGGGTTTCTTTTTTTTTCGATCCGATTTAAAATCTTATATATCTCTATAAAGATCTCTGACACATCTGCTTTCAAGGCTGAGATGGTAGCTGGCACCTGTTAGTGATAAAGCTTGCGTCTAACTTTTGGTGGTATCTTTGCAATATATGTCTGTTCTTTGTATTAGGTATTAACACACCATTAAATCAGTTTAGTACCTAGGTACCTAGATCTATTCCTGTCGATAAAGTGTCAGCCTGGCTCAGTCGGTAGTCTCTCACCTTTGAGTCAGAAGCCTCACATTGGGACTTTGAACTCACGTAGTCTAGGCTAATATTCCATTGCAGTGCTGGGGAGGGCTTCAAGGTCTGCATTGTCTCAGTGCTGTTGTTTGAATGAGATATTAAACCGAGATCCTGTCTGCCTGTTCACGTTTCACGTTGGGTAGGGGGAACGTCTCAAAGTGCTTCATAGGATTTACTGTAAATTGTGGTGACTGTGTATTTTGTTGTCAGTGGAAAAAACAAAGTTCTGCTATTTTTCTACAGTGAGATTTTCTGATTTAAGGCAGCCCAATTGCACACAAGAGATGTCTAAAAATTATGTGTTTTTTTTAAAAAAAAGACAAGCAGCATTTTGCCAGATAAAATTATTTATTCTTATTTTCTTTTTTTAAGCGCGTGGATTATTCCTATGGTTGTTCTTCATGTTGTTCCTGTTGTTCTTGTTTCATTGCAGAACGCAGAGGCCAGCTATGACTTCAGCAGTAATGATCCTTATCCATATCCTCGCTACACAGACGACTGGTTTAACAGGTGATTTAGACCCGGCTGAACCAGTCTCTCGGTGCCGTCAGGAAGCTATTAGCAGGCTGGCTGGGCAATGCCCTGTGTGCTTTCTTGCTAAATTATAAATATAATGCATGATCAGTGCCACTCAGTGGCTTTGTTTAGTGTTGTATTGATTTTGTCTCTGAAATGTAGTTGCATCGAGGAAACCTTTGAAAGCACTCTGGCGGTAGTGTTAACCTGCGCACACATTTCTTTAGGAGGCAGTGGCTGAAATGGCTACAGCTTATTGATTCGTTCTCCAGTGCTCCAATTATCCGTCAGGTCACAAGAGTTTTGCAGTGAGGCCTTTCCTTGGTCTTTGCGATGCAGAATGGTCGCTTCTGGCTCTGTTATTCACGGGACGTTGAAGCCAGTGGGAGGGGAAAGATGACTGAAAGCACGGTTGATGTCCTTGGAATAAGGAAGAAATATGTTTTGGAATACCGCAATTTTGACCCCTCCCCCCTCCCATCCAGGTAGAAATGAAAGGACTGTGATATTCCAGGATAATGTGTCTGCTACCCCTTATCCATGGGTGTTCCTTTACAGACTCAATTCATATAGGAACAGGAGTCAGCCATCCAGCCTCTCAAGTGTGTTGCACAATCCTAATAGATCATGGCTCATCTGTAGCTTAACTTCATTTACCTGCCTGATCTCCATATCCCCCAATTGATCCAGCATCCACAGTGTTTTGGGCGAGAGACTTCCAGATTTCCGCAACCCTTTGTGTGAAAAAGTGCTTCCTGATTTCACTCCTAAATGGCGTAGCTCTAATTTTAGGATTATGCCCCCTTGTTCTGGATTCCCCACCAGAGGAAGTAGTTTCTCTGTATCTACCCTATTGCCTCAATTAAACACCTCGATTATATCACCCCTCAACCTTCTGAACTCCAGGGAATACAATCCGAATTGCTCCAACGAATGCTCGTAATTTAACCCTTTTGTCCCTGTTTCCTTTTCTTGTTCCCGATTCCTGCGTTTACTACTTGTGATGTATTGTGGGTTCTTCCTGTACAGCCACGGGACGAGATGCGCTGGTGAAGTGTCAGCTGCTGCCAACGACAATGTCTGTGGTGTGGGGGTGGCTTACTCCTCCAAAGTGGCAGGTATGTAGTAACCTCTGTGAAGGCATCTAAGGAGCATTGCATAAATGCGAAGCACATTGAGCAGTTACTCGTGCAAATAACATTTTCTTATATAAAAAAAAGGCTTGTGAATTTGATATTATCATTGAATTAGATATTCTGCAAACTTTGAACAACAATAACAAGAAAATTGCATTTATAGAGCGCGTTTCACGTCGGAAGGACGTCCCAAAGCGCTGAACAGTCAGGTGTCGGGGCCCGAGCATGGGGAAGTTGTGTTTACGGGTGAGGGAAGGCAGAGAGGTGGGAGGGCGACCAAAGGCACGATCGAAGAGAAGGGTCTTGAGACCGGCCTTGAAGGAGGCAAGGGAGGAACCGAGGCGAAGGGACCGTGGGATGGAGTTCTAGAGTGTGTGGGCAGAGAGGCTGAAAGCCCGGCCACCAATGATAGGGCGGGTCGGGCGGGAGACGTAGAGCAGGCCGGAGCCCGATGAATGGAGGTAGCGGGCAGGCTCGTAGGGAGTCAGCAGGTCAGAGAGGTAGGAGAGGGCAAGGTCATGGATGGCCTTAAAAGTGAGGATGAGGATCTTAAACTCGATCATCTGGGGGATGGGGAGCCAGTGGAGGGTGGGAGTAATGGGGTCGCGGAGCCTGGTGCGCAAGTGTACACGAGCTGCAGAGTTTTGGATGATTTGAATTTGCATAGTCCAAGCTGACGCTCCAGTGCATTGCTCCCATGAGAGAGCACTGTATTGTATGAGGTGCCGTCCTTCAGATGAGTCGCTAAACCGAGGTTCACGTGGGTGTTAAAGATTCCGTGATGCTATTGGAAAAGAGAAAGGGAGTTTTTCTCCCAGTGTCTTGGCCACCAATCTCCTAGATAGAGTCGGTCACTCACTTCATGGCTGTTTGTGGGAGATTGCTGTGTGCAAGTTGGCTTCACAGTCACTGAACTTTACGGTATATTCTGTGAAGCGCTTTGAGACCGTCTCCTGATATGAAAGGAGCTATATCCAATTCAAGGATTATTATTATTGTTAATATTATTGCTATTTTGACCTTGAAGTTATTAAGACTTCCAGGGATATGACAGTCACTTCATATTGTATACTTTAAACTCAAGCAATGTGAATAATAATAATAATAATAATAATAATAATAATAATAATAATAATAACAACCCTGACACAAAAGGAAAGGAAAGAATCTTATCATGGGTGAACCGTGTCAGCCAATTGTGCAGAGCAGTCTCCCACAAACCTTCGTGGTATCAGTGGCCAATTGTTTAGGGAATTATTACCCCTGGAAAAGGATTTACCAGTTGACTAACAACCAGATTCCTACTTACTGCTAGGTAAACAATGATGTGTGGAGTAAGGAAATTGCCCAACATTTCGCCCTGCCAGGAATTAAACCCAGGTCTCTTGCATCCGAGCCGAGTGCTCTAACTACTGAGCTACAGAACCCAGACATCCCAAAACGCTTCAGTGTATAAAGTGTGGTGACTGTGTATTTTGTGATTGAATGTGGCAATCAATTTGTGCACATCAATGTCTCACAAACAGCCATGGAATGAGCATTTGGCATCCACCTGAACAGGCAAACGGCTTCAGTTTAACGTCTCATCCAAAGGTCAGTCGAAGAGAAAGGTCTTCAGGTGCGATATGAAGACAGACAAGGGTGTTATTGCCCCGGTGCTCAATGAATGTACTCCCTTTTATTGTTTAAAAACAATTGTCTGCCGGTATTAAAAAGCGACTGAATTTATATTCCTCTCTGTATATGTTAAAATAAGGAAGGAAACTCTTTCACCTCATCTGTAACATCTTACAGGCATCCGGATGTTGGACCAGCCATTCATGACTGATATCATAGAAGCTTCTTCCATCAGTCACATGCCTCAGACTATAGACATCTACAGTGCCAGCTGGGGTCCGACCGACGACGGCAAGACTGTGGATGGACCTCGTGAGCTGACACTGCAGGCCATGGCTGATGGTGTGAATAAGGTCAGATTAACGTGTGATTCCGGTTTAGTCTAATGTCGGGGAAGAAACATGGGATAACATTGTGGCTCCTATACATTGCACTCGCCTCATAAACAAGAGGACTTTGGTTCGATTCCCGGGTGGGACAAAACCTTAAGGCAAGTTTCCTTACTCCACACGCCTCTATTTACTGAGCAGTAAGTAGGAACCAGGTTGTTAGTCAATTGGCAGATTGCTTTCTGGGGTTAATATTCCTAAAAAAAGATGTTGTCATTCAATTCACTACTGTTTGTGGGACTTTGCTGTGCGCAATTGGCTGCTGAGTTTCACCTGCAAAATATACAGCCAATCCACTTTACGATATATTCTGCGAAGCACTTTGAAACGTCTCAACGACATGATAAGGAGCTATACCAAATGCAAGGATTATTATTATTATTGATGTGGCTCATGAACTACTTTATGAATTTGAGCTAAAGAATTTGTATAATATCATAACTACAAGTAACTTTAAGACATAGTGCCCATCAGTTCTTGATCCTAGTAGTCACATTGAAAAGGAAAGCTAAGATCTTGCTACATTGCTCACAGAAAAGCAACCTTGTTCACAATACAGTAACCTTGAGTAAATGCAACTAAGATTTTAGAGACATGAAGGGAATTTATGTTCTTCTACAGTCGAAACAGCAAATGTTACTGATGCAGTGAAGTAATAATAATGATAATAATAACCCTTGCATTTGATACAGCGCCTTATCACGTCTTCAAATGTCTCAAAGCGCTTCACATAAACAGGAACAAACTATATGTAACGGTTTGAGACTAATCAAATGTCTTATACTCAAAAGACATACAGAATATTCTTTACCACAATATGGTGGTGCGTGCTTCTGATCTCTGACAAACACATTACCCATTGTGCTTAAGAGTAACGAGATTGATAACAAGAACAAGATTACATTTGTATAGCGCTTAAACAGAGAAAGACAGGAAAGATTGGGTGAGAGAAAGTGTGTGCGAGACAGTGTGGAGCTCAGAAGTGAGGAAAGGCTCATTTATCACATGACGGACCTTTCCTTGTATTTTATCCAGGAATTCCTAATGTGGTGCTTGGAGATCTTTGCCATATATGGGAACAGGGTTCAAGCCTTGAATAATCTTGGGCTTTACAGAAAGTTATAGTGCTCTGAGACACCGTCCTGTGTGAAGGCGCTATATAAAAGCAAGTTGTTGCTGTAGAAAGTTAAACGTTAATGAGGGGCAAGTAAGCAGTTGGCATAAGAGTTGGAGACAAGCTTTCCTCTCTTCCATTAGCAATGGTAGAGTTGTGAGAAACTCCAGAAAGTGCGTTCAGAGAAGTGAGATTGTAGGAAGGAGAAGGATTAAGATGGGAGCCACCAAAGCCAAGATGTAGTGACTGTTAGTTTGACATCTGAGAGACGTGAAAATATTGGACATACAGTTTTATATAGAGATTTAAACATATGACAAGCTCACACAAAATTGATTCGGATGAATGAGGCCCTTTGGCTCATCTGATCTCATTCGCCCAGAATAACCACTGGGGCCCTGTGAATTGGAGTCCTAATGGTTAGTAAGCGCACCTCGCAAGCAAGCGGACCCAGGTTCGATTCCCAGCCGGAGCGAAACCTTCGTCTAATTTTCTTACTCCACACGCCTCTGTTTAACTAACAGTCAGTAGGAACCCGGTTGTTTGTCGATTGGTGGATTGCTTTCCGGGGGTAATAATCCTTCCAAAACAACAACAAAAATAGTCACTCAATCCACAACTGTTTGCGGGACACTGCTGTGTGCAAATCGGCTGCCACATTTCGCCCACAACATATACACTTATACTTACAGTATATTCTGTGAAGCGCTTTGAAACATCTCAACGATGTGATCTATATTAAATGCAAGGATTATTATTATTATCATAAGAATTCTGAATCCAGCTCTGGGCTAACATGACGGTTTGATGTTCTAAATGCAGGGTCGGAATGGAAAAGGCAGCATCTACGTCTGGGCTTCGGGGGATGGTGGCAGCTACGATGATTGTAACTGCGATGGCTACGCCTCGAGCATGTGGACCATCTCCATTAACTCGGCCATCAACGACGGCAGGACTGCGCTCTATGACGAGAGTTGCTCTTCCACGCTCGCCTCCACATTCAGCAACGGGAGGAAGAGGAATCCTGAGGCCGGCGTGGTGGGTGCTGTACCCCTCTGCTCGATCTGTCCTGCCCTGTCCTGTCTGGCCACCCCAATCCTTTGGAACTCTCTCCCTCAATTTCTCTGCCTTGCCCACTCTTTCCCTTCTTTCGGGGTCAGGCTCGGCCACTGCTAAGCACTCTGAGACGCTGCCCCACATGAAGGGTGCTATATAAATGTAAGTTGTTGCTGTTGTTGTGGAGTCTCTACGATGGACCCATTTTCAGATCACTAGACGACTGAAGGCTGTCTCCAACCTACTTCTCCCATCTCTGTGACCTGCTAACCCTATGCAGATCTGTCTCTGAGCTCCCTCTGCTCACCGGATTCTCGCTTGGTTCTCCATTCCCCAAATTGTCCACCCCACCTTTGGCAGTTGGGCCTTCAGTCTTTCTGCCCCCACACTTTGGAACTCCATCCCACAGTCTCTTCACCTCTCCCCCTTTCTTGCCTCCTTCAAGGCTCATCTCAAGACCTTTATCTTCGACCATACCTTCGGCCACCCTCCTACCTCCTCCCTCCCTGCCGTCCACTCCTCCTGATCCCAACCCCCAGCTTGGGTGCAAATCCTTCACTGTTCAGCACCTTGGGACATCCTCTGGATGTGAAAAGCGCTGTACAAATGCAATTTGTTGTTGTCTCTGATCATACACGGAGAGCCAGAGAGAGTGGGGAGGATGTCTACAAAAGCTTCACACTGTTGAGTGGAAGTGCGAGCTGAGGACGGGGGAGGTGGGGGGTGGGAGCTGTGGAGGGGAGGCAGGGATGGTGGAGTGGAGGAGGGCTTAGGGGAGGAACAATGGCCGAAAACAGGACAATAGAGTTTGGTCTTACGGAGAGTTTTAAAGGGAAGGAGGGAGTGGGACACTGGGCTGAATTGAAGAGAGTGGCCGGATGAAAGGAACCTATCTTTGCGTGGGTGTGCGATGGGGGAAAGCAGCTTATTTTAGGAGATGGTGTGATTAATTGCAAATCACTATCTTTACAGGCGACCACTGACCTGTACGGGAACTGTACTCTGCGGCATTCAGGGACTTCAGCAGCAGCGCCAGAAGCTGCTGGTGTGTTTGCCTTGTCTTTGGAAGCCAAGTACGTATCAGTTATTTTGTTTGGGGTGTGGGGGTACTACTACTACTAGTAATAATAATAATAATCCTTGCGTTTGATATAGGGCCTTATCACAGGCGAGTGCTCTAACCACTGAGCTACAGGACTCCACTGATCAAGAGGTTTCAGGATGATTTTCTCCCTGTTGAAATCCCAAATGCCACTGAAACTCAGATGGTCGGTTAACGTTGATTGGGACGAGTATGGAAGTACTTAGCAACATAACTTAATGTTGTTCCAGTTGAGCTCCTCTCAATGCAGACCCTGTATATCCTTTATGACCTTATGTCTTTTTATGGCATTCCACACACAAAATACAGCCAATCCACTTTACAGTACCTTCCAACGTGATGAGGCACTATAACAATTTAACTTCATAACTGTATAATCCTTTCTAACTTTATAATCCTGGTTACTTGCTGATTAAAATGATTAAAATGGGTTTTACACTGACTCAGTTGTACAGAGCCTTGGTCAGACCACATCTGGAGTACTGCGTTCAGTTTTGGGTGCTGTACCTCAGGAAAGATATATTGGCCCTGGAGGGGATGCAGTGCAGATTCACCAGAATGTTATCAGGGCTTAAAGGGTTAGATTATCAGGACAGGTTGCATGAAACTGGCTTGTATTCCCTTGAGTTTAGAAGATCGTCGATTGATCTATTGAGGTGTTTAAAATGATAAAGGGATTTGATAAGTTAGCTACAAAGAAACAATTTGCTCTGGTGGGGGAATCCAGAACAAGGAGCATAATCTTAAAATTAGAGCTAGGCCATTTAGGAGTGAAATCAGGAAGTATTTTTTCATACACAGGGTAATGGAAATCTGGAACTCTCTCTCCCAAAAGGCTGTGGATGCTGGATCAATTCACTTTTTCAAGACTGAGGTGGATAGAGTTTTGTTAGGTCAGGGTATTAAAGGATATGGAGCAAAGGCGGGTAAAAGGAGTTAGGGACAGATATTCCATGATCTAACAGAATGGCAGAACAGGCTCGAGGGGCTGAATGGCTGACTCCTATTCCCGTGTTCGTATGTTCCTATGTCTCTCACCTCTCTCCGCCTCCTGTTTCTCAGTCCGAACCTGACATGGAGAGACATGCAGCATCTCAGCGTGCTGACGTCCAAACGTAACCAACTCCACGATGAGGTGCACAGGTGGAGAAGGAACGGCGTGGGCCTGGAGTTCAACCACCTCTTTGGTTATGGGGTCCTGGACGCAGGGGCCATGGTTAAACTGGCGAAAGATTGGAAGACCGTTCCCGAGAGGTTCCACTGTATTGCAGGATCGATTCAGGAACCGCAGTGAGTACCATCCACATATTCCCATGGGGGGGTTGAAGCGATTTTCCTTCCGGGAAAGTTTCAGACAACAAGGATGAAGTTTCGTTTTGGAGTGAAATCAGGAAGCACTTTTTCACATACAAAAGGTAGTGTAAATCCGGTACTCTCTCCCCCAAAAGGCTGTGGATGCTGGATCCATTGAAATTTTCAAGACCGATGTCAATAGATTTTTATGGTAAAGGTCTCAAGCGATATGGAGTAGAGATATCAGATAACATGGGCAAATTGTTGGCCAGGACACCATGAGAAACTCCCTTTTGCGAATAGCGCCGCAAGATCTTTTAATGTCCACCACCTGAACAGGCAGAATGCACTGGCATGACCAGGGGTTATTTTTATGGGCCGACAGCTTAGTTTTGACTCAGCAGGTGTTTGTTTTACTTACACTGGTCCTAATCGATGGGATTGGAGAAATAAAACTTATTCAGACGCTCCACGTGATGATACAGCAGTGGAAGCTCAGCACGGAAGGCTATTAAGCCTGGGCGACCAATGGGCTTAAAATTATGAAGGGGTTCAATAACAAACAACAACAAAAATTACATTTGTATAGCGCCTTTTACATCTGTAGGATGTTCTAAGGCGCCGAACCATCAGCGTTTTGGACCCAAGTTAGAGGTTGGGATCAGGGAGGGTGGAGGCAGGGGGGCAAGAAGGGTAACCAAAGGCACGGTTGAAAAGGAAGGTCTTGAGATGTGTCTTGAAGGAGGCAAGGGAGGGGGCGAAGCAGAGGGACTGTGGGATGGAGTTCCAGAGGGTGGGGGCAGAGTGTCAGAAGGCCCGCCCGCCAATGGTGGGGCGGGTGATGCGGGGAGGTGAAGCAGGCTGGAGCCCGCTGAGCGGAGGGTCGGGCAGGTTGGTAGGGGGTTAGGAGGTCGCAGAGTTAGGGAGGAACAAGGCCATGGAAGGCTTTGAAAACGAGGACCAGGGCCTTGAACTGTATCCTTTATGTGATGGGAAACCAATGGAGTCAGGAGAGAATGGAGGTGATAGGGTCGCGGAAGGGATATGGGCTGCAGCGTTCTGGATGATCTGCAGCCTATGGAGGGAGGAGTTGGGGAGGCCAACAAGCAGGCAATTTGCGTAGTCAAGCCTGGATGTTATGAATGCGTGTATGAGAGTCTCGGCTGCCAGCAGTGTGAGACAGTGGGAGAGCCGGGTGATGTTCCGGAGGTGGGGAAAGACAAAAAGGGTCATGGCATGGATGTGAGGTATTAACGACAGTTGAGAGTCGAACAGGATGCCATAGTTCTGTATTGGCTCTGTGAGATGTAGGGTGCATCCAGGGAGGGAGATGTTGTCAGCATCCGAGGTATGGAGGCACTGACAGGAACCGAGCAGGAGAGCCTTGGGATGGGAGCCAAGCAGGAGAGCCTCGGGATGGGAGCCAAGAAAGAGAGCGTTGGTCTTGTTGCCATTCAACTCTCATCCAGGACTTGATGTCTGACAGACAGTCTGTGAGGACAGCAGTGGTCCTAGAGTTGAGGTGGAGGCAGAAAGGCACATACATCTGGAACTTGACGCCATGTCTGCGGATTATGTCACCAAGTGGGAGCATGTAGATATTGAAAAGAAGAGGGCCAAGGACAGAGCCCTGATGGATGAAACACGTGACGGTGCTGGGGCTGGAGGAGAAGCCGTTAGTGGCGACAAAGTGGAGGTGGTGGGAGAGGATTCAAACCAGGCGAGGGCAGGTCCGCGAAGGTTGAGCTGAGAGGAGAGACAGTGGAGGAGGATAGAGTGTATAGTGTGATCGACGGTGTTGATGGCGGCAGAGAGGTCGAGGAGGACAAGGAGGCAGAGAGAGCCCTGGTTGCAGATGTTCAGAATATCGTTAGTGGCTGGGCTGTTTCCATTGCTGTGGGCAACATGGAAACCCGATTGGAAGGGTTCAATAACAGAGTCTAGCCACTGACAGATCTAAAGGAGAATTTAGGAGGAACTTCTTTACCCAGAGGAATGGGTGAGTGTGTGAAACTCATTGCCAAAAGCCCTTGTGTGAAGCAGAAAACATCTCAGAGGAAACTCAGTGCAGACATAATGCTAATCATTGCATCTGATAAAGCGGCTTTCACCTCGAAAAGATGTCTCAAAGTGCTTCACGGGAATTACTGTAAAGTGCAGTGACTGTATTTTGTAGATGAGCACAGCAGCCACAGCAGTAGATGAGCACAGCAATATCCCACAAACAGCCACCGAGTGAATGACCAATTTTATTTGGGGGATTGGTGGCCAGGACACCGGGAGAAATTCCCTTCTCTCTTCTAATAGTGCCATAGGATCTTTAACGTCCACCTGAATAGGCAGATAGGATCTCAATTTAATGTATCATTCCCTCAGTGTCAGCCTAGACTATGTGAGCTCCAAGTCCCGATGTGGGGGCTTGAACCGACAACCTTTTCACTCAGAGACAAGCATGCTACATGCTATTAGCTGTACCAGACCGACAAATATCGGTAATGTTCCTTGAGTTGAAGTTGCTCCCTGGGAAAAGAAATACTTATGGGTAGAACCATAGAAATTTACAGCACAAAAGAAGGCTATTCGGGCCATCATGGCTGTGCTGGCTCTTTGAAAAATAGCAACTGGAGGATCTAAAAGAGACTTTAGGAGGAATTACTTCACATCCCTTTCAATTTGTAGCCAACTTCATAGAATCTTAGAATCCTACAGCACAGAAGGAGGCCAATCGGCCCATAAAGGCTATGCTGGCTCTTTGAAAGAGTTATCCAACTAGTCCCACTCCCCCATTCTTTCCCCACGGCCTTGTAAATTTTTTTTCAAATAAATATCCAATTCCCTTTTGAAAGTTATTATTGAACCTGTTTCCATCACTGCTTTCAGGCAGTGCATCCAGATTGTAACAACTCGCTGCGTAAAAATATTTCTCCTCATCTCCCCTCTGGTTATTTTGTCAATTATCTTAAATCTGTTCTCTGGTTACTGACCCACCCGCCAGTGGGCACAATTTCTTATTAACATTCTATCAAAACCCCTCATAATTTTGAACACCTCTATTAAATCTTGCCTTGTAAGGAGCATAATCCCATTTTCTCTCATCCGTTCTGCTGTCTCAGCGAATCCAAAAGTATTGTTCTCATTTTACTTTCTCGATCACATTTAACGTCTTGCACACCTCCACAAGGTCCTCTTGGAGACGTCTCCTTACAAGATTGAAGAGCCTTAGCTTGTTTTGATCGCTCCTCACTCCCATAAGTGATGCAAATTCCTGGGGAAACAGAATTTTTTAACTACTATTCACTGTCGTGCATCAACTCGAAGGATTCCCCAGGCTAAGAGTGGGAGGACAATTTTAAATTGATTCCGCAAAGTGCTTTTAATGACATGATTCTGCGTAGGTGGAGTATAACATAGTGTCTGCAGTTCTGATTAACTTGTCTTGAGGCTGTAGATTTATGGCTGTCCAGGCATTTCTTTTTTACACTGTTTGACAAGTATTTAATTTCACCTCTGAGCACATTTTAGACAAGTTTCCTTACTCCACATGCCACATGCCTCAGTTTACCGAGCAGTAAGTCGGTCGATTGGTGGATCGCTTTCCAGAAGTAATAATCCCTTCAAAAAATATATAATAATAATTTGGTCACTCAATCCACGACTATTTGTGGAACTTTGCTGTGTGCATTTGGCTGCCGCGTTTCCCCCACATAATATACAATCAGTTGACTTTACAGTACATTTTGTGAAGTGCTTTGCGACGTCTCAATGACGTGATAAGGCGCTACATCAAATGCAAGGATTATTGATATTATTATTTTTGTGTCCCATTGACTTTGATGGCAAAGATGCCTTTTAGTCTCTGCACCCAGGACTGCGCACACAAGCTGAAAGGCTCTCAGTCTGGGTGATCATGAATGATGAGGAGATGCTAGAGAGGTTTCATTAAGAGGAGAGGAGGTTGACCAGGCAATAAGTCTCTGAATCACTCTTGCATACCTGCAGCATCAGGTTACTGAGTTAAAGGCACGATTATATAAATGCAAATTGTATTGTACTCATCACTCAGTATGTCAAAATAGTGTGAGGCAGCAATAAACAAGGCAAACAGGATCCTGGGCTATTTTGCCAAATCAATAACAGCAAACTTGCTTTTATACAGCACCCTTCACACAGGGTAGTGTCTTGGAGTGATTAACAGTGGCCGAACCAAGACAGTAGTACAAGGGAAAACAGGTTTAGAATTACCAAGGGCAATTTCAGGACAGACACCAGGAAATATTTCTTTGCTCAGAGTGTAGTTAAGGAATAACACTCAGTTATCAGGGAGAGTGGTTGAGGCCAGGACCCTGGATTCATTTAAAAAGCAGCTTGATGCTGTGATGGTGAGCTTTCTTCTTCATCCGACCTGATCGTAATAATAATAATAATAATAATCCTTGCATTTTGATGTAGCGCCTTATCACGTTGTTGAGACGTCTCAAAGCGCTTCACAGAATATACTGTTAAGTGACCTGACTGTATATTTTGTGGGTGAAAAGTGGAAACTTGCCTAAGGTTTGGCCCCACCCGGGAATTGAACCCGGGTCCTCTCGCTTGCGAGACAAGTGCGCTAACCATTATGCTACAGGACTCCACGACTGCATTATAGGATCGTGTGAAAATTCTCCTATGCTTTTCTCTCGACAGGACAATCACGTCGGAAGACAAGTTGGTTCTGACGATAACGACCGACGCGTGCGAAGGGAAGGCCAACTTTGCTCGCTACCTGGAGCATGTACAGGCTGTGATCACGGTGAACTCCACCCGGCGGGGAGACCTGAACCTGAACATGACGTCGCCCACCGGCACCAAGTCCATCCTCCTGAGCCGCAGGCCCAGGGATGACGACTCCAAGGTGGGTTTCGACAAGTGGCCCTTCATGACCACCCACACGTGGGGGGAGGACCCCAGGGGGACTTGGACCCTGGAGGTGGGCTTCACGGGGGGCACGGCGCAGAAGGGCGTGCTCAAGGAATGGACCCTGATGCTTCACGGGACTCAGAGCGCCCCTTACATAGACCAAATAGTGAGAGATTACCAGTCCAAACTGGCCATGTCGAAGAAGGAGGAGCTGGAGGAGGAACTGGATGAGGCAGTGGAGCGAAGTCTGAAGAGCCTGCTGAAGGAAAATGAACCCTATTAAACGCTGCATGTCTGTCTTTTCTCTCCCCTCTCCCTCTCTCCCCTCTCCCCTCCCCTCCGATCCCCACATTGTAACCGCTTTGTGACTTCAAACTGCTGGATTTAATGTTTCTCGTAGCAAAGTTGCCACACTGTGTGCTGTGATCTTTAACCCACCGTCTCCTATTACTGTACTGTCAGTCCATGAATTGTGTTTTAAAATAGCACCATTTTTTTGTTCTTTTTCACACACATCAATACTCGTTAGTTCCACGGATGTTACGCACAGTTTGTGAATGTAAAAGGACTTTTGGTGTGAAATTTAAAGGTAATATCTTGCAAACAGAGCAGTGACAGTTTTTCTTTTATATTTTGTGAAAAATGTTTATATATATTATAGATATATATATAATATAAAAAAAGACAACAGTGTTTTCAAATTATAGCCAATCGTTCGAGCATTTTCTTCTATTCGGGTTTAACCAAGCTGAGAGCAACATCTAGACCTATTGAAAAGTTGGCTGAAAAAGCACTCGACAACTGACTCACTTAAAGTGAACAGAGTTGACTCATTCCACTTAACATCCACCCGCGCACTATTCGATATATCACTCAAAGTTTCCTTTACTTCCCCCACCCTTCACCGCCTCAATTAGGAAATCTTTCACAATAATTTTCAAGCAATGTGGTGCATTAAAAGATTACCCTTTAATAATAATAATCCTTGCATTTGATACAGTACTTTATATCACATTGTAAATTACGTCTCAAAGGGCTTCGCAGAGTATATTGTAAACTGGAGTGATTTTGTATTTTGTGGGCAAAACACGGCAGTCAATTGCGCACAGCAGTGTCCCACAAATAGTCATCAATTTTTTTGACAAGTGTGTGCGTTGGGGTACTGCTGGAGTCTAACCAGTTAAAACCTCATAGCTTGCCATTGATATAACTGTGTGGCAAGCTTTCCCACTGCTTATCCAGCTGGGGCTACCCTACCTGGGGCTTTGACTTGTAGGGTTAACAGGTGCTGAGCAGGAAGAACTGAAGGGTACCCCAGTACCCTTCAGTTCCAATGTGTGTAAAAAATAATGGTGCAAAGCTTCTGAGTGCTGTTGGTTTCCTGTTCATTCCCTATTGTATTGCCGCAGGTAGATACTGCGACTATAATATTGGCAAATTGATTTATGGTGAAATATAATTTAGGCCACTCTCCTATCCATACCCTCCCTGCCCTCCACCACTCCCAAACCTCAACTCGGGTGCAAACCCTTCACTGTCTAGTGCCTTGGGATGTCCTCCCTACGTGAAAGGCATGATACAAATGTAATTTGTTGTGTTATTCTGAGCAAAAAAAAATTCTTCCCAAATTAGAAATCAATTGGTGGCTAATAATCCCTCCAAAACCAAAAACAATAATAAATTGGTCATTTTCAATCTACGACTGTTTGTGGGGCATTGCTGTGCGCAATTGGCTGCCGCGTTCGCCCACAAATATACAGTCAATTCACTTTACAGTGTGTTCTGTGAAGCGCTTTGGGACGTCCTCCCGACGTGAAAAGCGCTATATCAAATGCAAGGATTATTATTATTATTATAAATGCAGTGTGCTTATGAGCTAGGCAGATCAAGAAAGTACAAGATTCATTCCTTGATCTATGCAGGCTATTGATTTTAGTAATTAACGTATTGCAGTAAATCTCGGTATCCCCAGGCTAGAATGGAATCTCCCTCCTTCTAAACTCCCATCTCACTTTCTCTCTAACTACCTCTTCAACCTTCCCTAAGGTCACCTCCCTCTCCCTTTCCCTCACCGCCGCTTTCTTGCTTGGCGTCTTTAAAAAAAAGTACTCTGAGATGTTATCCTATGTGAAGTGAGCTATATAAAGTAGTTGTTGTTGTTATAGTACCCAGAGCAACTGTAAAGCGTAGTGACTGTGGATTTCGGTAGGTGAATGTGGTGGCCAATTGATGGTCAGCGATGTGCTGCAAACACAAATCATGACTATTATTGCGGGGGGTGGGGGGGTTGTTGGGGGCAGGCAAAAGGCAACGTACACAAACCCCTTTCTTGTCCCTCATGCCTCCATTCCACCATTGGCGTCCACACTTTTTGCCACCATGGACCAAAACTCTGGAACTCTCTCTCTCAATCCATCTGATTGCCCCTCCATCTCCATCTTCAGGTCGCACCTCAAGACATTCCTCTTCGACCATGTCTACTGTCTCACACACACACACACACACACACACCCATCAGCCCCTGGCTTGGCATCGTGCTCTGCCACTGTCAAGCGCTCTGAGATGCCTATATGACGGGCGCTATATAAATGCAAGTTGTTGTTGCTCTTTACATCACAGCTCCGAAATCAGCAGCCCAGTGGCATAGAGGACGCAAATGAGTTTGAGCCCCACCACATAGGTCACTGGAGTCACACTGACTCTCCACTGTGTCCAAGCTTTAAAATGGCGCGTGCAAGTACACAATCACCACACTTTACAGTAAATCCTGTGAAGCTCTTTGTTACCAGGAAAGGATTTTGAGGCCAGGACATTGAAGTCATTTAAAACGGAAACAGCTCGATGCTGTGATGGGGAGGAGGGCGTTCTGGAAGAATGAGAACAAATAGGCCAAGGAACAAAGAGCCTTCTTCTTCCGAACCAACTTTGTGATCTTGGGGGAGACATTTTGATAAAGGGCTACACCAAACGCAAGGATTATTATTGCTTTTGTCTGGGTAAGTGGGCTGTAAAATTGTTATACACGCAGTTAGTGCGAAAATTAATTCCTTCGCTGCGGTTCGCCAACAAACAACAGCACAGAAGTTACTTTCACTTGTGCTGACCGCCCTCACAACGCCAATCCTCAAGGAGGATGAACAAAGTGCTTTAGGAATAATTAGAAATGTAGTGAATATTATTGATGCCGTCAAACTTGGCAGCCAGTTTACTCCAACAGTGTCCTACCAGCAGCAATGAGTTGGTTCGTCAATTGACCAGAAATGATTGGAGTCATTTTGCCTTGAGAGAGGATGTTTAGCTGGAAAAACTGGGAGATGGTCCACTTCCCTGATGTAGCAGCGGTTGGATCCTTTATAACATCCACTCGAATTGCAAGGCAGACGGGACCTAGGAAAAGCCATGCTTTGGAATAAAATAACAACAAAGAATTACATTTATACAGCGTCTTTCACGCCAGAAGGGCGACCCAAGGCGCTGGACAGTTAAGGGTTTGCAACCGAGCTGGAGGTTGGAATCAAGAATGGTGTGGGAGGGTGGCAGAAGGCACGGTTGAAGAGAAAGGTCTTCAGTCAGGCCTTGAAGGAGGCAAGGGAAGGGGCAAGGGGAGTGGGAGGTGGCCATAGAGGCAAGTTTTAAGGAGAGTCTTGAAGGCAGATAAATGGGAAGGGATGGGGGGACGGTGGGGGTGGGAGGTGCAAGGGTCGAGGGACAGAGTTCCAGTGGGTAGGGGCATAGAATCTAAATAAGTAACGCTTCCATTAAATAGAGGGGTTTACCATGTCGAAATGTCTCTGAGCATTCACAAAACCGAACTTGCATTGGGGTTGCCTGTGGAGTGTGGTGAGTGCTCCTACGTAGGCAAATACAGCAGCTGGTTTTCAACAGTGACGTGCCGCAAGTAACGACGGGGAGAGAAGAGAGTTTGCCTGAATATGTTTGGGACGAGTCTGGATTAAGGGAGGAACGTTGGGCAACAAACACAAAAACTACTCACAGGGGAGGGAGTAAATAACGGAACTGAGTATGGGCAAGGAGGGGGTTAGAGGGGATGCGGAGTGCGGGGTGGGAGGGCTAAGGGGGGCGGAATGGGGGGGGAGTGGGGGAGCGGAACGAATGGGTTGAGTGTGAGGAGTGAGGGGGGAGTGAGGAGTGGTGCATGGAGTCAGTGTGGAGTGGTGGGGAGCAAAGCTTGGGGTGCAGAGTGGGGAGGTGGAGTAGTGGGTGAAGTGTGGGGATGCTGAATGGGGGGGCCAAGTGGGGTCAATTGGGGAGAATGAGGGGCGGAGTGGGTTGGGGATGGAATGGGAGAAACTAAAGTGAGTAAGGAAATAAATATTCCGCTGAGACGTATCGCAATGACCGTAACTACGAATATCAATTCTGACTCCAGTAACTGCCTGCATCAATCAAAAGTAACTTAAAGATTATTTTAAGATAGCGAGAGAGGAATGAAGGAGGGAAGGGAAAAGTTAGGGCTAGAAATTAGAAGGGAGGGATGCAGGTTTATAAGGAGTCTAAACACCAGCACAGAGTTGTTGGGCCAAGTGACCTCTTTGGTGCTGTAGATTGCACGTAATAAATTTCTCACCACATCTCTTGACAAATGACAAGAGTTACTTCATTAAACATGAATATAGGAGAACGTGAGTGCAACGAAGCCTTTGCAGGCCAGCTTTATTGTAACTTTCTTTGCACGACAAATGCATTCATAACGGAAACCTACTTAGCTAAGCCACTGTTTAACAGCATCTCGAAACAGCCTCATCATCACGCTCATAACTGTTTAGAAAGAGCCTGTCTGTTATTTCTGAAGGCTTCGTAGAAAATCTCTTCCAATTCTGCAAATCTTCATAAAATGCAAACTTGAATGCTATTCTCCAATGCTATGCTTGCAAAATACTAGCACTTCAGATAAGGTCACGCCGGGCTCTGAACGGTTATTGAAATGACACAAACATTACATAATCACTGCCGTCTCCACATAACCCATATTAACTGTCTGCCCTTCCAAGTCCTGCCAATGAGCCAGGCTGGATTACCGCAGACCTGACTGGCTCCGGAACTAGTCTACCGAGACCGCCACAGAGGGTGGCCTCGATTCCGACATTCTGTTACCAAACATGTTACCTTGGAGCCAGTTTGGCTCCAAAGGAAACCCACTTAAACTCATGTCCCCACCACCTACCCCACGACATCCCCCCATCTCCGAGGAGGGTGGGTAAGACCATTAAAACTGCTAGTCATTTCAAAAAAAATAGCACACGGTTGTATATCTGTCTGTCAAGCGGAGGGTTTCAACTTCAATCTGCTATTGAAAACAACTTCAAAAGTTCATCGTCTTCTTTAAGGATTTTTTTCGCTTCCTTAAGCGACAACACAGGCAGAGTGAACTCAGGCCATGGCGTAGGCGTGTGGTTCAGGTCCTCTTTGGCCCGGGGTCCTTGCCCCTCTTTTCCACCGTGGTCTCCAGGGTGGTGGAGATTTCCTCGTAATCTCGGACTCTCTCGTCCGTGAGGGTCTCGAGGGACTCCAGCACCTCCACCTTCTCGAAGTGCCTGTACCTGGGCAGGCTGGTGCAGGAAGATGTCAGAGGCTTTATCGGGGTTTCGCTGCCCCTGCCCTTGTCTTTGTCCCCCTGCTCCCTGTCCCCCTGCTCCCTGTCCCCTCGCTCCCTGTCCCCTCGCTCCCTGTCCCCTCGCTCCCTGTCCCCTCGCTCACTGTCCCCTCGCTCCCTGTCCCCTCGTTCCCTGTCCCCTCGCTCCCTGTCCCCTCGCTCCCTGTCCCCTCGCTCCCTGTCCCCTCGCTCCCTGTCCTCTCGCTCCCTGTCCTCTCTCTCCCTGTCCCCTTGCTCCCTGTCTCCATAGGGATCATCCCTGGAGCCCCATTTGTCGGGAGGGTTGGGCTCGGGTTGTGGCACACACGGGGAACAAAGCGTCCTGAAAGGAACCGGCTCGGGATCCGGGAACCCGGGAGGTTCTGGCTGGGGCGGAGGAGGGGGCGGCGGTGGGGATGGCACAAACGGTGGAGGCGAAGGTTCGACCGGCTTGTCGTCATCCAGCGATTTCCTCCAATTGTCGCACTTCTTCACTCCGTACCTATCCTGGTCCCTCTTCCTCTTCGCCGCCTCAGACTCCTCCTCTCCGTCGCTGCCTCCATCATCGCTCCCTCCCGCGCTGTGGGGTTCGGGCTCTACTGGCAGCGGCTCAGGGTGTATGTCAGCAGGAACGGGTTGCTCAGGGATAGTGATGGTCACTTCACTTCGCGAAGGTGTCATTGTGCAGAAGCAAGGGTCCAAGTAACTGGCATCTCCGCTCACCAGCACATAGTGGCCTTTGGTGTAATAATCCACTCTGGGTGCCACTGGTATTCTGTGTCTCCTCATCCTGTCTCTCACCATGTTATACAACGCGCCATAAACCTTGCTTATCTGACTTCCATCTGGTACATCTTCCTTCCTCATGCTCTGCTCATCCTCTTCATTCTCTCCCTCCTCAAACTCTTCCTCCTCAGACTCTTCATTCCTCACCTCTGTTCCCCTATCTCCAGCCTTCTCTGGAGAAGATCTCCTGCTGGACTTTTTGTCCTCATTACCTCCATTGCCATCTGTCACGTCCAAGGATGATGCAACATCCTTTTTCTTTGCTTTCCTGGTAAGGCCTTTCTGTCTGGATTTGATACTCGTGATGTCCCGAATGGTCAGACTGATATCTGAAAGGGGAACAATGTTTCAATGTCTTAAGATGAGTACGATTAATGGCCAATGCACTGACTGCACTGTTTTTCCTCAGAGCTTACAAACAATCTGATGGTTAAGAGAGTGGATTCTCTTACAATTGAGCTACGCCACTGGATTTATCCCAAGTGTGTGTAAACCTGTAAGTATGATCAGGAAAGCCCTGCCTGAAAGGGTGGTGGAAGCAGATTCAATAATAACTTCCAAAAGGGAATTTGATATTTTCTTGAAAGGAAAAAAATTGCAACGCTGTGGGGAAAGAGCGGGGGTGGGAATAATTGGAGAGCTCTTTCAAAGAGCAACCCTTCGTCAAGTGTGCAATATAAATGCAAGTTGTTGTTGAAAGGTACTACATAAGTGTCAATTGTATTCTCTTCTACACATTGAGACTCAGCATTTGACGTATAGAGAGGGAACCAGATGAACATTTGAAATGGAACAATATAAGAGCACGAGAAAGAGCAATGAATTGGGATAAGTGACAGAGTTGGCACCAGCAGATGCGCGTTGAGGCTAATGGCTGTATGCTGTAATTTGTGTGATTCTATTCTCGGAGCCTAAGTTTGTTTTATTTCTCAGTCTATTTTATGCTAACATGTTTTTATATATTAATAGTAAGGTCTGAAACTGAAAACAAGATGAAGAAGGCAGCTACTTTGCACAGAAATATTGTGGAAACTGCCTTAAGTGAGTTATGACTTAATGCAATGCAGTTTGAAATGAGATACTTGTTCAGGAGCTTTGGTTAATTATGGCATTTTCCGCTGATGTTAATTCCCCGCTGATGTTAATTCTGCTCAACCTTGCTGTCGGGTTCAGTGACTTAACTGTAGCGGGAATAAATAAGCTGCAAAAGAAAAGTAAAGCGAATCTGCTTCCTGCCAAATAAATTAGCCGACAAATAGAAAAATCCCACCCCAAAAAAATGTGGTCATTCAATCCACGACTGTTTGTGGGACATTGCTGTGCGCAATTGGCTGCCACAAAATATACAGTCAATTCACTTTGCAGTACATTCTGTGGAGCGCTTTGACGCGTCTCGAAGACACGATAAGGTACTATATCAAATGCAAGGATTATTATTACTTGATGCACAGTTTTTCACATCAGGAAAATGTCCCAAAGTATTTCACAGAATACTGTAGCATTGAGTGACTGCGTATTTTATGGGAATATTTCTCCCTGTAATGGAATCGCACCCCCAGCACTGCACTGGAGTGTCAGCCTATACTGTGAGTTCAAAGTCCTGTTGAACCTATAACCTTCTAACTCAGAGATGAGAATGCTATCAGCTGAGCCAGACATCTGTTATAGTAGAGTCAATAGGCAGACATTTCTACTTATCGGTGAGTCAGTGATGACAGGGCAGCAATTTAAGAGTTAATAAATGAGCAAATATGGAGGTTAGAAGAATTTTTTCAAGCACTGAGAATTAGGATTTTGAATCCCCCACCCCGGAGTGACAACAACAAATTACATTTGTATAGCGCCTTTCACGTTTGGAGGACGTCCTAAGGCACTGGACAGTCAAGGATTTGCACCCGAGCTGGGGGTTGGGATCAGGAGGAATGGAGGGCAGGGAAGGGGGTGGTTAAGAGGGAGACTGACGCAATCGAAGAGGAGGGTCTTGAGACGGGCCTTAAAGGACGCAAGTGGGGGTGATGGACTTCCAAAAGGTAAAGGCAGAGAGGCTGAAGACCTGACAACTGATTGTAGGGCGGCAGGGTGGGGGACATGGAGCAGGCCACATTGACTTTTAAAAGGGAACGAGATAGATATCTTAAAAGGAGTCAACAACAACAACAAATTACATTTGTATAGTGCCTTTCACGTCAGGAAGATGTCCCAAGGTGCTGGACAATGAATGCCTTGAGTCAGCTTTTAAAGGAGCCGGCACAATGGGCAAAATGGTCTTTATTTGTGCTGTCAATTTCTATGGTTTCTCTGGTTCTGTAGCAGAGCATCTGTAAACAAGCTCCGTGACTTACCTTTGCTGCTAGGTACCACTCTTGGGGTGTAACCACATCGATAACTTGTCGAGAATGTCGCTGCCGGATTCCCCATTATGGCCGATTGTAACCTGAGATAGAGAAGCAGCTATAATAATAATCCTTGCATTTCATATGGCGCCTTATATGCCTTCGAGTTGTCTCAAAGCGCTTCACAGAATATACTGTACAATGAGTTGACTATATTTTGTGGGCGAAACTAGGCAGCCAATTGCGCACCGCAGTATCTCACAAACAGTCTTGGATTGAGTGACCAAATTATTCTTATTTTATTTGGGGGATTGTTGGCCAGGACACTGGGAGAAACTCCTTTCTCTTTCGAATAGTGCCATGGGATCTTTAGCGTCCGCCCAAACGGGCAGACGGGACCTCGGTTTAATGGGCGCCTTTGACAATATTAATAATAATAACCCTTGCATTGGATTTAACGCCTTTTAATGTCATCGAGCCATCTCAAACATCACAGCATATACTGCAAAGTGGATTGACTGTATATTTTGTGGGCAAAATGCAGCACCAAATTGCGCACAGCAACATCCCACAAACAGCCATGGAGTGAGTGACCAAGTTTATTTGGGGAATTGTTGGCCAGAAACTTCCTTCTCTTTATGAGCAGTGCCATGGGATCTTTAAAGTCCACTTGAACAGGCAGACGGGAACTCGGTTTAATGACTCATCCAAAGGACGGTGCCTCTGACAATGCAGTTGCCTTCCCTCACTCTCTTGAGCCCACAAGTAAGGAAGAGCCAAATGCCCAGCCTACCTATAGTCCTCAGTTTCAATTATCCTCTTGTAACGTTCCAGCTCAGTCTCCAGTGACTGCTGGTACATGACAAGCTGCCGACATTCGTTCGTGCACTTTTCCAGACTTTTTTCAGCTTCGTCCATCTCCTTCCTGAGGTTTTCAATCTGCTCGTTGTAGGACTGTATCTCATCCAAGTAATGCTCCTGCGTGCTCTTAATTGTCTGCTCTAGTATCGCCGTCTGTCAAGATAAAAATAATAATCCTTATTATTATAATAATATAATATTATAATAATATAATAACAGTAATCCTTGCATCTGGTACAGAGCAGTTCATGTTGGGAGGAAGTTTCGACTCACTTCACAGAATGTTTCTGTAAAGTGTAGTGACTGAGTATTTTTGTGGGCGAACCCAGCCGCAAATTTGCACACAGCCATGCCCCACAAACAGTTATGAAGGGAATAATCCGATTTTATCTGGACGACTGTTGGCCAGGACACTGTGATAAACTCCCTTCTCTTTTCTAGTGGTGCTGTGGGGTCATTAAGCAGAGGACAACCCATGCCTCAGCATTATTATTATTATTATTATTATTATTATTATTATTATTATTATTATTATTATTATTATTATTATTATGAGCAGGCCAGGCACAGAGATAGGCAAGAATTTTTTTTTAAATTGGACACAATCAATTGAAATAAAAAAGGAAACTCGTAATATATTTCTTCAGGCCACAAAAAGTTAAACTGGACAGTGGCGTTCCTGTGTCTTACCTCACAGCTCAGTGCGGTCGGAGATATATAAGGGGTGGACTGATGGATGTGCTTCAGAATATTAATGATAGGTCTGGACATAATCGATTTAATACTGTTAAACTGGATTTAACTTTTGTAGTTCCAATGTAGCGCAGTGCCATCTAGTGTATGGTTTTACATTACACTGTAAAGTGTGTACTTAAGTCAAGTGTATATTTTTAAACATGTTGTATCACTGTATCACTGCAATACGATCCCTGGCATTCACAGCTCCGAACAACGGAATATTCTCTTTGTTAAGCTTCATTAAAAAGCCGCTTACTCTATTTACCCTTTGCAGCCTGTGCTCACCTCGGTCTGCAGTTTCTGTTTCTGGTTCTGTAACTGGCAAAGGCCACTCTTGTAATCCTCCAATTGGCACTTAATCAAAGGTCGCCTCCGCTCCGCCAGAAGCGTCTCCTCTCCCTGCAGGCAAAATAACAGCAAAATAAAGGCCCATCCAGAAACAATCCAAGGACGTAACATCTGGATCTACGACGAGGTTTCAGGAATCTTCTCTACAAATACGATTCACACTTAAGACAGCGCACGCTCGTCTCAGGCGCACGTCTCAAAAAAGATTATCACACAACTGGCTGGTCACATGAGTCTCGGCTGGGGGCGCGGGGGTTAACGCAGGAGGGTAACAGAAAGTACATTCAAAGAAGTAAGACCTAACAACGACAACAATTTGCATTTTCGTTGGAGTCCTTTGCCCTGGATAGCGCCTCGGAGCGCTTAACAGTGTTGGAGCTTGACACCGAGCAGGGGGAGGGGGAGGTGACCGTAGGCTCGGTCAAAGAGAGAGATCTTTCAAGCGCGACCTGAAGATGGGCAAGTAGTGGGGCAAGGCAGAGGGACAGAGGGAGAGAGTTCCAGAGTTTTGGGGTGTAGTGGCTGAAAGCACAGCCACCGACGGTGGAACAGAGGGCACGAGGGACAAGCGGTAGGCCGGGGCCAGTCGAGCGGAGGCAACGAGTAATGGGGTGGGGGAGTAAGCAGGTCAGAGAGGCAGGGAGGTGCCAGGACATGAACGGATTTGAAGACAAGCGTGAGGATCTTGAAGTCGATCTGTTCGGTGATAGGGAGCCATGGAGCCTGGGTTGAATTGGTGTGAAGGGGGTACGGAGTTTAGTGCGGGTGAGTGTGCGAGCTTTGGATTAATTGGATTTTGTGTATAGTGGAGCATCCCCGTGTCTTACCTCACAGCTCAGTGCGGTCGGAGATATATATGGGGTGGACTGATGGATGTGCTTCAGAATATTCATGTAGGTCTGCACCTCTGCTAAATTCTGTCGTGTTTAGAACAATACAACGGGAAGAAAAAAATATCATTATCGTTGAAGACTTTTTATTGTTTTTCTGAACTAAGAACAAATTCTGTGGTCAAACCATAAAAGTGACATTTAGTAATAATAATAATGATAATGATAATCATTTTGTTTTGTTTTCATAACGACTTATTCTCTGGGCTTTTTGCTTGTAATTTTTTGTTTTAACATTTCAGTCAGGTCCTGGAGCTTTTTATTATCAGTTATGGGGTATTTTCAGTGAAGTATTTTCCATTTTATGATATTGATATAATAGTGTAATAATAACAATAATAATATGAGTGAAATGTCTGTGTATTTTTGCCGCCAATTGCAGTAGCCAATTTACACACAGCAACATGCCCACAAACAGCCATGAAATGAATGAACAATTTTATCTGGAGGATTGTTTGCCAGGAGATGAAGAAACACCCTTCTCTTTTTAAATTGTGCCACAGGTTCTGTAACATCCACCACAACAGGCACAGAAGGGGCCACAGTTTTTTATTTAAATTGAAGGACGGCACCTCTGCCATTGCAGCGCTCCCCAAGCAGTGCATTCAAGTGTCAGCCTTAGACTATGTGTGTTCAAAGACCTGATGTGGAGCTCAAACCCACAACCTTCTGACTCAGAGGCAAGAGCGCTACCGACTGAGCCAGGCTAACACCAGGGGCGTATTTATGAATATTTCACACTTAAAAGTTTGAAATCAACAGCTGCACGAAATCCTTTGTAAATTCTGAATTAATCGAGAAAACCTTTCAATTACCTTTGGAAGATTTGAGTCAGACCTCACCTAATAGCTGGCTTTGATCCACAGTTTCAAGCGGATTAAACATAGAGGGCTTATGATTTTAAATCACTCGAGCTGCTCTGCTTACCAATACTCTTTGAACAAATTGTGGATTGACTGGCAGAAGATGGATTGTCTTAAGCCCACGGATTGTTTAAACGTACCTTCTTGTTCCTCTCTTGAGTGGAATTTATATCTTCCTGCAAGAACTGAGATTGGATCTGGAGTTCAAGGTTGCTCAACAAAGCTTCATCTGCTTCCTACCAAAGGGCACAAACACATTTGAGTGATGAACAATGTTGTACTTTCACCTTTTTCTATTATAAGAATAATAAGAATAATAATCCTTGCATTTAATTTAGAGCTTTTCACGACTTCTAGACGTCTCAAAGCGCTTCACAGAATATGCTGTAAAGTGAATTGACCGTATATTTGTGGGCGAAACGCGGCAGCCAATTGCACACAGCAGTGTCCCACAAACAGTCGTGGATTGAGTGACCAAATTATTATTTTATTTATTTTCTTGAGGGATTATTATCAGGCGTGTGGAGTAAGGAAACTTGCCCAAGGTTTCGCCCTGCCTGGAATTGAACCTAGGTCTCTCGCTTGCGAGGCGAATGCTCTAACCACTGAGCTATAGGATTCCACATTGTACTGCCCATAGGGACAAGAGTATGCCGTATCACCACCAGTCCGTTTGGTTTGTTTGCCTGTGGCACTTATCTTTATTATTAATAATGCGAATAATTCTTGTATTTGTTATAGCATTTTATTACATCATTGAGACATCTCAAAGCACCTACCATGATTATATTGCGAAGTGCAACTGCTGTGCATTTGTAGAGAAAGGTGGCAGCCAAGTTGTGCGCAGTCACGTACAACAAACTGATTCTTTCCTTTAGAAAGGAGCACGGCCCTAAACATGAGTGGATCAATCTTAACCATCAGCTAAATTCTCCAGCAGTATAAAAGCAGTGTTAGTGCAGTGAAGGTCAGGTCACGGTCTCCACAGTGCTCACATCTGCAGTTTGAATTCATTGACCAGGACCCATTCCACACATAGGATGCAATGCTGCTTTTTTGCAGTGAGACGAGGGCAACTAAAGGTTATTGTTGGCTAATTGTTCTGTGCCTTGTATTCTTTCTGGACTGACAGACTGCTTTGCCAAGCACAAAACTCGCCTGACTAAACAACAACGCAAGGTACTTTCACATTTGCAGTAAGCCAGAAAATGTCACCCTGTGTCACTCGCGAAGAAGAGTTCTGGCAGCTATAACAATGTAAAGTCCTGTGCTAATGAATTCGGGTTACAGGATGTAAAGGGACACTGAGCAGAGTTCGCTGGTCAGAGGTCACTGACCAACAATAAAACCTGCTGCCCTCACCTACCCTGAATTTTCCTTTACTGTCAACAATCATTCATAAAAGCCTGGCGTGTGCTTGTTACAGCTCTGGATATGTCTGACGGTAATGGAAAGAACAGGAGAGCCCGGCAGGGTGCTTACAGAGGTATTTTGATGCCAGTGAAATCACTCTAATAATGGAAACACCAAGTGGACCTACAAAAACACACAATCACTACGCTTCGCATTGTACCCTGTGAAGCACTCCGAGACATCCTCCCAACGTGAAAGGCACTGTATCAAATGCAAGAATTGTTATTGTATAGCTAAGATAAAGATCTGGAAGCAACATCACAACATCACAGCATCGGTCTGGATAAAGAAGGTGCTTTGTGCCCATCTGATCTCCAGAACCCACCCCCCCACCCCCATCACAGCGTTAAGTTGCTTTTTAAATGGGTCCCAGTGTCTTGGCCTCAACCACCTCATAAAATCACAAGATGAATTTGGATAAAGAAGGCCCTTTAGCCCCTTTGATCTCATTGTTCCAAAAATACCTATCCTTCAATCCTCCCATCACAGCATCAACCTACTTTTTAAATCAGTCCAGAATTTTGATCTGAACCACCCTTCCTGAAAACTTGTTCCGGTCATTAATTACCCTCTGGGTAAAGAAATATTAGCCTGAAATTGTCCTTTTGCAACTCTAAATCTGTGTGCTCTTGTTCTGTAGTCTTACTGCATTGATCTGGATTTAATTCTTCAATCCTATTGAAATTTTCTACACTTCTATAAAAATAATAATCACCATGTGGTCACTCCACTTTACAATGTATCCTGTGAAGCATTTGGGGATAATAATCCTTGCATTTGATATAGTGCCTTATCACATCTTAGAGACATCTCAAAGTGCTTCACAGAATATACTGTATGGTAAATTGATTGTATTTTGTGGACAAAACCTTTCTATGAGGCCTCCTCTGAGAATTTTCCTTTTAAGAATGAAGAGCTTGTTTGATCATCGCTCATAGCACGTTATTCTAACACAGGGCATCAACCCCAATGGTGGAATCTCTCCAACCCTGCAGTATTGAACCATATACAGTAACAATAATCATAATACTTTGATGCATACATTTGATGTATCACCTTATCATATTGTTGAAATAGCGCAAAGGCTTTTCACAAGATTTACTGTAAAGTAGTGTGTCTATATTTGTAGGTGAATGTAGCAGCCAATCTGCACACAACAATGTCCCACAAACAGCCATAAAGTGAGGGCTTGTTAGCCAGTCTTAACCTTCTCTTTTCCAAAGTGCAGCGGGATTTAAATGGCACTCCATGTCTCAAGAGTAAGCTTGTATCCTACAGCCCAACACCCTCATCAAAATGGTTCAAAGTGCCTCATGAGATTTACTGTGAATCTAGCCTCCTTCCCAAAAGGTTCATAGGATCACAGAAATGGACAGCGGAGGCTATTTGGCCCATCGAGTCTGCACTGGTTCTCAGAACAAGTTATCTTTTTAGTCCTACTGCCCTGCCCTATCCCCAAACCTGTTCAAATCTCTAATTTTCATTTAAACTATTTAGGAAGAATTTGCCCACAAAATATGCAGTTTATTCACTTTACAGTATATTCTGTGAAGCACTTTGAGACTTCGCAAAGGCGTGATAAGGCGCTAAATCAAATGCAAGGATTATTATTATTATCTTGAAACTCTGGATAAAGATTTTTCACCAGTTATATACAAGCTGAAGTCTCTTCAGTGTCATTCACTTTGTATTTGACCAGGTTGGAATTGAAGTAGCATTCAGCATAATTGTGGGAGACAGATGTAAAATGCTTTATGCTTTAGGTTGTTATTAAGTCTTGTCTTACACTATTAAAGGAGCTACTGCCAGGCATGTGTCTCTTTTAATAATGCAATGCATAAGCTGTAAGACAGGTGCCCAAAGCAAGGTTTTTGATATTGGAAAATATACTTCCATACAGCGTAACATGAGAGAGAAGGGAATAGAAGATTTGGGATGGGGGTAGGAGACAGAAAAAGGAATAACTTCCATCACTTTCCAACTTTGCTACGGGATCTTTAACATCCACCTGAACAGGCATGCAGGACCTCGATTTAATGTCTCATCTGAAGGACACCCCTTCCGACGATGCAGAATCAGCTCAGACTTGAGCCAATGTAGGGTTTGTAATCATTCTTTAATTGATTCTCTATTAACCTTCAGTAATTGCATCACAAACATGTTAAACGTTCTTTTTACAAACAGGAAATCAAATTATTCGCCCTAGCAGTTTATTGGCCTATTTATCTTTTCAACCCAAACCCTTGGAACAGTATACCAACCGAACAACAGAACAAAGTGTTTGATGGTTCAGCCGTGATGACATTATACCCAGCCCTCCATCTACCTGTTCAGATGGACTTTGAGGATCCCATGGCATTTTTCGAAACGACAAGAGAGTTTCTACCCGCGTCCTGACCAACAATCCCCCAAATAAAATTGAGCATTCAATTCATGGCTGTTTGTATCATGTTGCTGTGTGTAAACTGGCTGCCACGTTCGCCTACAAATATATAGTAAACTCCTGTGAAGCACTCATTGATGTAACAAGGTGCTATATCAAATACAAGGATTATTATTATTACATATGATTGAGTATTGCACCAAATGCCCCATCTCCCCATCAGTCCCTAATACTGCAATTTTATAATAAACTTTCGTTTAAGTCATACAGTAAGCAAACATAATAGTAATTTAGAAGCAGAATTCTTCCACCACTCACTTCCTCCCCATAACGTTTTAATAGGAGGGGTGCAAAGGGGAGGGGAGAGGGAGGGAGGGAGGGAGGGAGGGGGGTATCACCCTTATTTTTTGTTCTATTGAGTTACACTAGATACATCCAGAAAAAAGTTCCACTTGGGTCTAGATTTATAATAATAATAATAATAATCCTTCCATGTGATGTAATGCCTTATCACATTGTTAAGATGCCTCAAATTGCTTCACAGAATATACTGTAAAATCATTGACAGTGTATTTTGTGGACGAAACGCGGCAGTCAATTGCACACAGCAGTGTCCCACAAACAGTCGTGGAATGAATGAAACCTTTATTTTTTTTTGGAGGGGTATTAATATCTCCGGAAAGCAATCCATCAATTGACTAACAACTGCTAGGTAAATAGTGGCATGTGGAGTAAGGAACCGTGCCTAAGTTTTCTCCCCGCCCGAGAATCGAACAACAACAACAAATTACATTTGTACAGCGCCTTGCACGTCAGGAGAACCCCTGGTCCTCTTGCTTGCGAGGTGAGTGGGCTAATCGCTACACTACAGGACTCCACTCCAGGTTTGTTTTTGGAAGAATCCCAACCAGCGCCCACTTCATAGCCCACAAGATATTGGATACACCAACACAGCTCTCCTGCTGTGGTGGAGTAATGACTTGTTGTCAGTTCAATGAGGTTGAATTGTGAAAGTGAATGAGCTCACCTTATTGAGATGTTCCAGACTGTCCCGAAGCTGCTCGTGAAACTCGCACTCATTTCTGTATCTGAAAGGAAAGAAAACATTTGAATGGATTGATTGAAACACAAGGATTCCTTTGGACTCAGATGACACCCTGGAGCAATACTGACGGGGGCATTGCATTGTCAGAGGTGCCATCCTGTAGGTGTGTCAATAAAGATACCACCTGAACAGGCAAACGGGACCTGAGTTTTATGATTTCATCTGAAGGACAGGACCTGTGACAATGCAGCATTCCCTCAGCAATGTAGCCTCGACCGTGAGTTCAAGAGTTGAGATGTAGGGGCCAATGTAGGGACTTGGAGCCACAACCTTCTGACTCAGAGGCACGAGTGCTACCAATTAACAATGCTACTTTATCATACTTTACTATCTCACACTGCAGAGCCTTTCCGATTCTTGAGTCAGGCAGGTCCGCAGTACTCAGATAACAGCACAGCTAGCCGGCAGAATTTGAAAAGGCAGACCAGTCACTGGGGACAGGGATTCTTCTCACTCAACTCCTGTTAACCCTGCATCCCCAAACCCTAGCGGCATCCCAGATAACGGGGGTTTATCAAACTGATCACCAAAAAGTAACTATCTTATAATTACTTTATCAAACAGAAGTACAACAGTACTTAATAATAATAATCCATACATTTGATATAGTATCTTTCATGTCAGAAGTATGTTCCAAAATGCTTCACAGGATATACTGTAAAGTACAATGACTGTGTGTTTTACTGAATGAAAAGATTGCTATTTTTGTTGCGACCTCCAATGTCATCAGGAATCAATGTTTTCACGAGAATGTGTTTTTAAAAACTCATCCTGAACCCGAGGAGACAAACTGAAATGTGTGAATGAATTGCCTGAGAGGTTTACCGATTGCCTGTTGCAATAATACCAATCCTAGTATTTGATACATCGCCTAAAACATTGAAAGGTCTCAAAGTGTTTCACAGGATTTACTGTTAAGAGTAGCGGCATTCCAATTTCTGCACAGCAATGTCTCCCAAATATTCAGGAGGTAAATTAACAATTTATCTGGAGGATTGTTGGCCAGGATACCGGGGGAAGCTCCCATCTCTTTTCTAACAGTGCCACAGGATCTTTAACATCGAACTGAGCAGACAGATGGGACCTTGGTTGAATTGCTCATCCAAAGGATGGCACCTCCGACAATGCAACACACCCTCAGCACTCCACTGGAGAGTCATCTTAGACTTCACCCCAGAAAAGTATTTTTTCTCAACTCTTGAAAAACAAAGTGTTGGAGGCGTAAGGTAATAGTAATAATCCTCGCATTTGATATAGCACCTTATCACGTTGTTGAGACGTCTCAAAGCGCTTCACAGAATATACTGTAAGTTGAATTGTGTGTATACTTTGTGGGCGAAACGCATCAGTCAATTGGGCACAACAGTGTCTCTTACACAGTCATGGATTGAGTGACCAAATTATTATTATTTATGTTGAAGGGATTATTACCCCTGGATAGCGATCAACTAACAACCGGGTTCCTACTTACTGCTAGGTAAACAGAGGCGTGTGAAGTAAGGAAACTTGCCAAAGGTTTCACCCTGTGCGGGAATCGAAACTGGTTCAATTGCGAGGCGAATGCTCTAACTAATATGCTACAGGACTCCAAGGTACCACAAAAAGCAACAACAACAAAAGCTTCTCTCACTTGACGCGATACTCATCCAGCGTGCGCTGGGCATCCTTCAGCTCTTTTTCCAACCGGTTGCGGTCACTGTACAGCTCGCGAATCCTCTGCTGGTTCAGGTCGATCTGCTCGGTGAAGATGTTCTCCAGGCCAGAGAGCTCCTCGATCTGCTGGAGGCTCTCCAGCTGCTTCCTGAACACGGCATTGCGCTGCTCGAGGATCCGGGCGCGGTTGATGTACTTGGCGAAGCGCTCATTCAGCTCCCGCAGGCTCTCCAGACCCGTGTTGGAAACGTCCACCGTCTTCCGATCATCCAGCGTGTCTGAGCGCTCGTATTTTTCCTTGCGCACCTCGCGCACATAACTGGTTCGGAACATTTCAGAAGCACAGCCGGCCGGCTGGGGATTGTTGCTTTCCCTTAACTCCCCTTCAAAAGACAGTCTGTGAGCTCAGGTTAGTCAGTTCCCCCCTTCCCGCTCAGCCCGGGGTGTATTGAGTGCCGGAACATTACCTTCCAACAGAATAAATACATGTCAAGCTCAGGCAACGAAGCAGCCCAGTGTGATGGTCTATTATCCCTCCTGCCAGTACATTCAGCGACAGAATCAGTTATGGGCAGCCAGAGTTTTGCATTGTCAACTCGGGATTAAATGTGGAAGCCTCACTCCCAGTCACGGTATCTGTTATTAAGTGGATTCTCTATTTTTTTGGTGGTGCGTGCACGTGTGTGGGGGGAAAAAAAAAAGCTTTCATAGAAAATTCCTCTTTACAATCAACCCATTGTTCAGTCAGCCGCCACGCTCCGAACTGCAAACTGTGCTCTATTTAGATGTTTGTTGTGAGAATGACTGATTCAGTTGTATCGCTGAGCAGCGAAGGTAAAACTCAGTAAGCGTGGAATGAGCTGGATTATCAGCAGACACTTGGACAACATCCATGCGTTATAATAATGGTAAAATAATATTATTATTAATAATAATAGAACCTTTCATGTTGGGAGGACGTCTCAAAGCGCTTCACAGGATATACTGTAAAATTTCAATGACTGTGTTTTGTGGATGAACTCCATAGCCCGATTTGTACAAAGCAATATTCCACAAACAGCCATGAAGTGAGTGACCAATTTTATTTGGAGGATTGTTGGTCAGGGAAACTCCCTTCTCTCTTCACAGGATCTTTAATGTTCATCTGAACAGGCAGTCGGGACCTGAATTTAAAGTCTCATCCAAAGGACGGCATCTCCAACAATGCAACGCACCCTCAGCACTGCACTGAAATGTTAGCTTAACTAATCGAGTTCCAAGTGTTGACATGGGGCTTGAACCTTTTAACTCAGGCACGAGTGCTAGGCTGACATAGTTCTTTACTTTGGAGCATGTAATGTAGCCAGGTTTTAAATCAATATGTGAAGAACCTAGATTTTTTTTGTCAAACTGCTCTCTATATCAAATTACTTTAAGTGCAGTATCTTTAAGGAAATACAGAGTCTGAATGATTCACCAAAACAATTGCAATGTGACAAATGTATCACAAGGGGGAGGCAAAGCATTTAAAAGATTTTCATTTTATTTTTATTCGACACTCAGGAAACAGTGATATCTTCTTATAACACCGAGAACAACCCACGTTCAATGTATTACACTGTTTGCTTGCAAATAAGTAGGTCATTACACTTCACAGTGAGATACTGTGAAGCTCTTTGAGACGTCTCAATGATATGATAAGTTGCTATACCTTAGGCAAGTTTCCTTACTCCACATGTCTCTGTTTACCTAGCAGTAAATATGAACACAGTTGTTAGTCGATTGGCGGATCACTTTCTGGGGGTAATAATCCATCCAAAAAAAATGTGGACACTCAATCCACGACTACTTTTGGGACACTGCTTGTGCAATTGGCTGCAGTATTTCGCTCACAAAATACAGTCAATTCCGCTCCACAATATATTATATGAAGCGTTTTGAGATGTCTCATCGTCGTGATAAGGCACTGTGACAAATGTAAGGATTATTATTAATAATAATAATAATAATAGTGAATGTGCACTTGAACCTATGTTAATTTCCAGTAGAAATGGCTCTTATGTGGAAATTACATAATTTCCATTTAAATGACATTCCTGCCTGCTCCGCCTTTACTATCGCTGAGTGAGTGTTTATCCACTCTGTTCCCTTAACTCCACCTACCAGTGCCTCCTTATTCCAACCCGCCTTAACCCTTTCTTTCCGACTGCACTTTCAGCCACCTTACCCGGTCCCCTCCCCTATTTCCTCAGCTCACGTTCCAAGTCAGTTGTGTGAAGCACTTTGTGATGTCCTCCACATGTACAAAGTGCTATAGAAATGTAAACCGTTGTTTGAAAAGGTCAACGGAAACAGAATAAAAATTAATAGACAATTCTGAGGAAAGTATAATTGTAAATTTATGCACAGGACTGAAGCAAGCACTCTACTCCAATCCCATTACTTTGCCTTATCCGCACCGTGTCTGTGCTGGTGCTCGCTCCCCCCACTGCAGCTCTTTTAATCAAATCCCATTCCCCTGCTCATTTGCCATCGTGTCTGTGTTGGTGCTTGCTCCCCCACTGGAGCTCTAATCCTATTGCCCTATTGCCCCATTCTTTCTCAATTCATCTGTTCTGGTGCTCACTCATCCTCTCAAACTCTCTTCTCTAATCCTATTCCCTGGTCATTCCCCCACTGGGAGGGGAGCGGGTAAGGTGGCTGTGTCTGGGTTGTATCTGGGCTGGAGTTTGTTACCCCAATGTAAATTCCTAATTATGGGCAGTATTAAGCACAGGTAGACAAAAAACTCTGCAGCCATTGTGTAACAAATTACATTTAAAGATATGAAATAAAAATTGCCTATTATGAATAGGCTAATAAACCAGTACCCCAATCTATCCTTCACGTGGGGTAGCGTTTCGGAGTGCCTAACAGTGACGGAGGTTGATGACGAGACAGGGAGAGGGGCTGGTGACCATAGACTTGGTCGAAGAGGAAAGTCTTCAGGCACGATCTGAAGATAGGCAAGGAGGAGGGAAACTGAAGGATTGAGGTAGAGTGTTCCAGATATTATGGACGTTGTGGCTGAAAGCTAAAAACTGCTGATGGTGGAGAGGAGGGGACGAGCAGGAGGCCGGAGCCAGCAGGTAGCGAAGTGACACACACCCTGACTGCACAGCTACCATTACGGATTAGGAAGCAAACTTTTATTTTATCAAAACAAAAGGATTGATTTTGTTCAGAAGCTAAATGTGACTCCATTTGAAAACAAGGCTGTCAGCAATGTCTTATCCACATCTTATCCTGTTTTATTAATCCAGTAATTTCCTGATAAGAGCACTTTTCTCGCTGGATCCTTACTTTTTCTTTGATGCACTCTCGGTTTGTGTAATAATACAGCACATTAAACCGGCATGGCCCATAAACAAGATAAAATGATCCACACTATGCATTAGTATTAGTATTGGCAGCCTATTCATAACAGGCACTGTGTGATGTCTTTCAAAGTAATTTGTTACACAATGGCTGCAGAGTCTTTTTATTTTTGCCAACCTTCTCCTAATGCTCTCCGGAATTAGTTAAAGGGATGCGTGTCTTCATGGGGGAGAGAGCGAGCATTGTATTGCAGAGACAGGGACATTTTGGACGGCCTCCTCATGTGAAAAACACTATACCAAATAAAAGAATTATCATTATTATGTTATTACGGTTTAAATCACTCTGTAGAGGTCATTTCAAAATGTTTTTCGGTGATAATCAGCCAGACCAATAGCATTGCCACGTTACATGTAAATGGACGTTACTTTTCTTAGTTTGTTTGAGCTTCATAACATAGCTAATTTTTGCAGGAGGTTGATATTTTGTTCACCAGGTATGTTGTCAAGCCATTTCTGAATAGTCTTATTAACAATCCCAGTTGCACCAATGATTACAGCAACTATGTTTGTTTTACATTGTCAAATATAGTTCCAGTGTCCTCATTCAATTTGCAGATTAATATATTTCCTGATTTTATCTAGTTGTGTATTTCGTATGTTGTAATCACTTTCTTCTTATTATTATTATAATTATTATTATGTTTAAAGGTTATCAAATGGTAACAGTTATCCAACTTTTTTAACAAATGGTGGTTATTCGCTCCGGGGTTTACTGCTTAACAATGCAAAATACTAGATTGATGGATAATGAAATCTGCATCACATCACATCTTGTTTGACATTAATTTAAATCAAATTTATTTCCGAAATGATCATTAAGGTGAAAGAATAGTCACAAGATCACTGGATTGGTTTGGATGAAGAAGGCCCTTTGGCCCATTTGATCTCATCCCTCCAGACCCTTCACCCTACTATCCCCACATCACAGCACTGTAAAAAAAAATAGAACCAGTGTCTTGCCCTCAACCACCATTCCTGTTAACCTGTTTCAGTCATTATAATAACACATATGTATATTAATCCTTGCATTTGATATAGCGCCTTATCACATTGTTGAGACATCTCAAAGCACATCACAGAATATACTGTGAAGTGAATTGATTGTGTATTTGTGGACGTAACATGACAACCATTAGCGTACAGATCCATCCCACAAACAGTGGAAGATGGAGTGACCAATTTTTTTCAGGGATTATTACCCCAGAAAGTGATCCACCAATCGACTAACAACTGGGTTCCTACTTTTTGCAAGGTAAATAGAGGGTGTGAAATAAGGAAACCAGCCTGAGGTTCGTCCTGGCTGGGAATAGAACCCGGGTCCTCTTGCTTGTGAGGCGAGGCACTAACCAATATGCTAGAGGACTTCAAACCTCCACATTAATTATCTTTGTATTCCAGTCCCTTTAAGATAAAGGCCAACATTCCCTTAGCTTTCTTGATACTTTTTGTACCTGTAATCTAGTTTTTAGTGATTTGTGTACACAGACACCCAAATCCCTTTGCTCCTCCACAGTTCTTAGTTTTTCACCATTAAGAAAATATTCTGATTTGTCTTTCTTAGATCCATAGTGGATGACCTCACACTTTCCCACATTGAGCTCCACGTGGCGACCTTTTGCCCACTCGCTTGATCTGTCTATGTCTTTTTGTAAGTTCCTGCTCCCATCTACACAATGTACTGTGCCTCCTTACTTTATGTCATCTGAAAATTTGGATACACAAAGCCCCAGCTTATGTAATTGTTGCTCATACCTTGAATTTGAGATGCTCTTCCCTGCCATTCAAATCCCTCCTCCCCCACCGCCCATTTCCATGCTTGAACTTCCTGTCGGCTCTGTGAAGCACTTTGAGATGTCAAAGGCATTGGATAAATGTAAAGTGTTGGCGTTAGCCACTCAACCTTACGCAAGTTTGCTTACTGCTGACTCCTCTGGT